GGCTACTCCATGGCGATGAGTTAAGTTCAGATTATGACGGACATTTTTCCTGATTGTAATTCAGTGATAATTTTCTCGTGCTTCGGTCGAATCATAAATAATTGTTTTTTTTATCTGATCTTGTTTGCATTGTCATCATCGCTTTGAACATCCCCACATATGGCGGAAACATTTTTTATAGAGGGCCACACTAGGTCGGAATGGTATGGAGTAATCCGGATGACGTCACTCGTGACTGTTTTATGTATTAATGCACCAATGCGATCATGAGAATAGACAAGATATGCATCGATTGGATGCTAAAATGGCGCGATGATAGGGTGTGTAAGAAACAGATTACTGCATTCGCGTCTGTCATGTACAAATTATCAATTATTTTTCATAAATACATTTTGAAACAACTCTTAACACAAATGGTATCTGACATTCGTTAAGTAATCTCTATTTATAGGGTAAATCTTATAATCACTGTCTCCCGCTACCAATCGGCATGTCATCCAAAGCAACGAAAAAATTATACATTATATGGGTAAATGTATACCATATACCTCTAAACAATGCATGTTACGCATCACGCTTCTTATAGAGACCCTATGATAAGCGTTAGCTATGATAACGTGTATCGTACTGATCATGTTACCACAACTGTGTTGTATACTTACTCCTGTTTCGAAGCACAAGATTTAACCTAGACTATTGGTGACTAACGCCCTGGTCTCCTCAATATGGAGCATCTCATTGTGTGCGCAAAGGGCGTGTTAAAACAAGCATCTTGTAAACTTCCCCTTGACACCGTGCCTCCAAACACTGGTCAGATTCAAACAGGAGGCTGATGAAGACACGCGTGGCCAACAGAGACACAATGGGAAGAAGGAAGTGACCAGCACGCAGCGGGTCCCCACAGTCCAGCGAGAGATGCGATAAACGCGTGGTAATCCCGCAAATCAAAGGGGAGAATAGGGATGACCTTTAACGCCTGATGCCCACACCGCCTCTCCCTACGGCCAGGTGGACTGGCGCGTGGGGAAGCGGATCTCACAGAAAACCAGGCGACTGATATATTTGTGATGTAAAAAGAAGCGACGCAACCATTTCAATAATAATAAGAAATATCTGCTAATAACAGAGCCCATTGTCCGATTCTGACTGTATCATATGCAAGTGTATAATGAAAACAGTCTTGTTCAAATAATGAAATAGCTACTTCAGTTGTTATAAGCCTATTCTGATGTCTTTATCCAGGGGCATCCAACGTTTTTAGTTGTCGGGAATGTCGACAGTCCGCTTGTTCGAACTATTGACAACGCGACATAAAATCGACGACACTTTTCATGTTTTATTATTATATATGCAGAACCTCCTGATAGTTTTCCTCTGGTCCTTTTGAAGACCTTGGTATCACATAAATTTGATATGACACGTTATGTGTTTGTCGTGACGAGGTGTGACTCTCAAAGAAACTGACAAAAGAGACAGACGATTGTGAAATTCCAAATGCTGATGTATTACCACATGCAGGATGTATTCTGATGTATTATGACATACAGGATGTATTCTGATGTATTATGACATGCATGTAGTCTCCTGATGTATTATCACGTGCAGTATGTATTCTGATGTATTACCACATGTAGGATGTATTCTGAAGTGTAACCCCATAAAGGATGTATTCTGATGTATAACCGCATGCAGGATGTACTCTGATGTATTACCACATAAAGAATGACCTAACTTTAGAACACAGTACTACAAACTTTTCAAACACGTGACAATACCCTATGACGTAATGTTTGGTATTTTGTTGCCAGTCACACCGGCGAAACAATTCCCTGTGACGTCAGCGGTCATCGAGTGTGCCTAAGCTCTTCTCAGTGATCTATCATCTCTACACGCAATGTCATTCAATACGCCCAGCGATGTTGAGAGTTTTGAATAATTTGTTAATTAAATATAGCCTGCGGCGGCGCATTTTATAGCAAGCGCTAGTTTACGAAGGCATATTTATTTTTATATATTTTTTATTTCGTTTTTCTCGTAATTCAAGTGGCTAAATAGTTATTAATGGGAACTAATATATACATATATTAATTTTTCGGTTCATTAATTTTCATTATTATGCACAAGAATGCAGTTTAATAGGGATATTATATTGGCGCTGAACACAACCAAATATCGCCAGTGTTACGGTAGGTTACCCCGAACTCTATCCTTAGGCCTTGGATCCCCTTTACGATCAATCATCCCTCCACGATCATTAGGGTTAGGTACTCGTTTAGTGGCTATTAGATTCCCCGAACTCTATCCTTAGCCCTTGGATCCCCTTTACGATCAATCACCGCTTTACGATCATTAGGGTTAGGTATTTGTTTAGTGGCTATTACAGATTCTATAGCGCCTCCTTATATTCTTCACACAAAAACTTCGAGTAAAAAGGATGAAATGGCTTTGTGTCGAATATTTTGGTTACTGGAAACTGTCCTGGGACATTCACACATGCCACTTTCACCGGTTACATTTTTTTCAGTACTGATTCAAAAGCGTACTCACCGTTGTGATCGTCACTAGTCATGCTTATTCCTCCATCGTTTCTTACTATTATCCACATCATCTTTACAGTGTTCCCTACCACACTTTTCTGTCACAAAATCCACCCGACGAATGATTAAATACCGTGTCATTCATGCGTACTCGCGAGTTCGACGTCTGACGTCTGACGCCTGAAGCCGTTTTCAGTTCGCGCCATATCGGCTCATTCCTCACCACTCGGTATCTTGTCGATTCCGGAATGTGACGAGTGTGCCAAATGGCATCGGGATCATTCGTAAGTGTCCGTAGACTAAATTCACGAGACGTCATGCCTACCCGTAACCTTCGTTAGTGTCCGTCACCTATTAGAGTCGACCCTTTTCGTTCATTTCCGTAAAGTCGTAGGCATGACTATGTAGTTTCACAGTGTTGCCGTAGCTCAATCGGTTAGCTGTCGGGCTAACAATCCGAAGGTTGCGAGTTCGCGTCCGTCCGACGTATTCTCACAAAAACTGGTTGCTTCTCTTTGAGACATGTGACCTACGACAGAGATCGTCCTCACGAGAAGTCGTGGTACTGTATTCTAAAGGTGCTCCTAGGATGTATTATGATGTATCATCACATGCAGGACGTGTTCTGATGTGTTACTACATACAGGATGTACTCTGATGTGCTATCATATGTGAGTGAGTTGGGTTTAACGCCGCTTTCAACAGTATTCCAGTTATATCACGGCGTTATCATATGTAGGATGTATTATGATGTATCATCACATACAGGATGTATTCTGAAGTGTTACCACATAAAGGAGATATTCTGATGTGTTACCACATGTAGGATGTATTTTGATGTATTACCAATTGTAGGACGTATTATGATGCATTACCACATGCAGGTTGTTTTCTGATGTATTACCACATGCAGGTTGTATTCTGGTGTATTACCACATGTAGGTTGTATTCTGGTGTATTACCACATGCAGGTTGTATTCTGGTGTATTACCACACGTAGGTTGTATTCTGATGTATTACCACATGCAGGTTGTATTCTGATGTATTACCACATGCAGGTTGTATTCTGATGTATTACCACATGTAGGTTGTATTCTGATGTATTACCACACGTAGGTTGTATTCTGGTGTATTACCACACGTAGGTTGTATTCTGGTGTATTACCACACGTAGGATGTATTCTGGTGTATTACCACACGTAGGTAGTATTCTGGTGTATTACCACACGTAGGTTGTATTCCGGTGTATTACCACACGTAGGGTGTATTCTGGTGTATTACCACACGTAGGTTGCATTCTGGTGTATTACCACACGTAGGGTGTATTCTGGTGTATTACCACATGTTGGAAGTATTCTGATGAGCAAACATTAATTCAAAGACCGAATATGTTTGAAATGTATTATGATTTATGATGTATTATATTAACATATTTCATAAAGTATGTCAAGTTTATTATTTTTCGTAACTGCGTCAAAACAGTCAAATCTTATCTATGAAAGTAATCTCTAAAAAGATATTATAGCCAAGACGTCACCACATAGCTTTCAGAAAAGCAGATCGACGGACGAGGGTTTTTAAACCCAGGTCTCCTGCTTGTATCACAGATTGTGTCTTGCAAAGTATTCCTCGTGATATTATTAGTTCAAACATTTCATTCTTTTCCAAAGCATTGCATAGGGTCACTTTTGTTCATATGTAATTTTGTAGTTGAATGTCATAACGAGCAACTTGCTTAATATCAGTACAGGCAGTTTGGTAGCCCTGTGGTTATAAAGGGTTCTCTCGCGATCGTCAAGCCAACGGTTCGTTTCGATCCCACACGCCAGTTCAATGTGAAGCAATTATGCCCTATCTGATCAGCCGTAAGTGAAGTTGTACTTCAAGTTGTTCTTTCAGACCAAGGTTATCTAGCTTAGGGACCGAACATGGGAGCTGGGATTTTGTGTAGAGATTATGTTTTTTTAATCCACAGCTTCCAACCAGATTTTTGTTTTTGTAATTCTGTGGCAGACAATTTTTTTTCAACAGTCTGAAGCATTTTTTGCAAGAATATTTTTGGATTTTTTTTTTGCGTTAAAAATCAACCCCCAGGGTATCAAATACTTGGTCCCTTAGGACTAGGTATGAACTACCGAAAATACTTACGGTTAAGTAATGATCTACGTATTTCCGTGTTAATTCAAATTATGAACGAGTCCTTCACAACCGATACTTTGGTAATTTCGAGCTGAGGCTATCAGAAGGACCTAATGATACCTTGTAGACTATGTCCTATTTTGAGCTTAAATACAGTATGATTATGAACATCAACGCTAGAGAATAGCAAGTCTTGATTATCTGCCGAAACAGATTGCATCGGGCGTGAAAGGCAATGCAAGTGATAAAAATGATATGAATGGAAACTTTTCATACTTTCATATATCATAAATTTAAATCAATCAATATGAAAAAAAACCTCACCTCCAGACGAGGAACTTGTAGTCGAGTAGAGCACTAGAGTGAAGAAACCTGCAGCACATAGTGCAAGGGCTACGACAGGGGCAACAGCTTTCATCCTCTCTCTTTCCCACCCGGGTCGACACTGCGTCTAATTGGATGCATGCATAGGTACCCGAGTATTTATTCAGACAACGTACACCTCTCGCGTCATAATGGACGAGCCCCACCATGCAGATTTCATTCATTAGGGTATGTCTGATACATGCCAACATGATGCCTTTAGGGGGTAAAGGGTGGGATCTTAATTACAGCTGATGTCGTGGTGTTCGTATGTTTGAGGCAATATCCTGGACAGGACTGTGTGTGTTTTCTGTCCAAGGGGAACTGATTCGGCATTGACTAGGGCACTCACAAAACTTTTGAAGAAGTACTAATCGTGTGGGACATGTTTGCCTACATTTGTTACAAGGACACAAAGAATATCAAAGCCAACGGGAAAAGTTCTGAATCGCTTTCCTCTGTGCCGTCGTTTTCAGAGGCTTTGTATTGAATGCTGTTACCGTTCTTTTACATGGTTGATTGTGACAAATAATGTAGTCATGTACCGTGTTTATATACGATGACACAAATATACATAAGTTGATATGAATTACTTCTATACAACACATAGCGGACCTAATTGGTTTTCAGATCGCAAATGTGTGCTCAATCCACATGATCATCACTAGGTATCATGTGTATATTTGCTGATAGAATAATTTCAAAATCGTTGAGCCAGGACCATATCTTGCAACTGACGGCTGTGGGTTTTTAAAACCAGAACAATAATAACATAAATAGATGAGCGATACATACATATATACACACATACATTCAGGTTTAGTCTGTATTCATAGAGTGTGCACACTGTTAAATGTTAACATCGTCACAGATGGTGCTTTGCAAAGACTCATATCTGTACCTTATAAAACACTTACAGCATGCATTCCTTTGCCCAGGTCTAAGGACGCTGCACGCAGCCAAATGGATAATCGCACCCCGTCCACTATAAGCTAATTACCTCTGTTTAACTGAAGGACAACCACATACACTACCTCTGTTTAACTGAATGACAACCACATACACTGCCTCTGTTTAACTAAAAGACAACCACATCCACTGCCTCTGTTTAACTGAAGGACAACCACATACACTGCCTCTGTTTAACTGAACGACAACAACATACACTGCCTCTGTTTAACTAAAAGACAACAACATCCACTGCCTCTGTTTAACTGAAGGACAACCACATACACTACCTCTGTTTAACTGTAAGACAGCCACATACACTACCTCTGTTTAACTGTAAGACAGCCACATACACTACCTCTGTTTAACTGTAAGACAGCCACATACACTACCTCTGTTTAACTGTAAGACAGCCACATACACTACCTCTGTTTAACTGTAAGACAGCCACATACACTACCTCTGTTTAACTGAAGAACAACCACATCCACTACCTCTGTTTAACTGAAGAACAACCACATCCACTACCTATGTTTAACTGAAGAACAACCACATCCACTACCTCTGTTTAACTGAATGACAACCACATACACTGCCTCTGTTTAACTAAAAGACAACCACATCCACTGCCTCTGTTTAACTGAAGGACAACCACATACACTGCCTCTGTTTAACTGAACGACAACAACATACACTGCCTCTGTTTAACTAAAAGACAACAACATCCACTGCCTCTGTTTAACTGAAGGACAACCACATACACTACCTCTGTTTAACTGTAAGACAGCCACATACACTACCTCTGTTTAACTGTAAGACAGCCACATACACTACCTCTGTTTAACTGTAAGACAGCCACATACACTACCTCTGTTTAACTGAAGAACAACCACATCCACTACCTCTGTTTAACTGAAGAACAACCACATCCACTACCTATGTTTAACTGAAGAACAACCACATCCACTACCTCTGTTTAACTGAAGAACAACCACATCCACTACCTCTGTTTAACTGAAGAACAACCACATCCACTACCTCTGTTTAACTGAAGAACAACCACATCCACTACCTATGTTTAACTGAAGAACAACCACATCCACTACCTATGTTTAACTGAAGAACAACCACATCCACTACCTCTGTTTAACTGAAGAACAACCACATCCACTACCTCTGTTTAACTGAAGAACAACCACATCCACTACCTCTGTTTAACTGAAGAACAACCACATCCACTACCTCTGTTTAACTGAAGGACAACCACATCCGACACATCGTTTACCTGTTCAGGTTTGGATCCACGCTTAACGAGAATATCAAAGACGAACTTTTTGTCTACCTCTGATATAAAAAGGGCAATAAACGCTAACCGTCTTTTTTCATTAATCTTCCCATTAATCTAAACAGAATTAGGCCGCGCCCACCAGCGTTCTTCTGTTTCCTGATTGACTAATAATGAGGACTGGACTTTGGTTGCGTTATTGCCCTGGAGGGCTGGACTTTTGTTGCGTTATTGCCCTGGAGGGCAGGACTTTGGTTGCGTCATTGCCCTGGAGGGCAGGACTTTGGTTGCGTTATTGCCCTGGAGGGCTGGACTTTGGTTGCGTTATTGCCCCGGAGGGCTGGACTTTGGTTGCGTTATTGCCCTGGAGGGCAGGACTTCGGTTGCGTTATTGCCCTGGAGGGCTGGACTTTGGTTGCGTTATTGCCCTGAACGAGGTCTCTGATGTTGTGTACAGTGCTTTGTTTATGATTAAACAAGCAGTCTGTGAAATTATAAATGCTGATTTATTTATAAGAATTAACGTAATTATGTTTTTGCTTTGATGGCATTTTTACCGAGGCAGAGGAGTTAACTGACCCCAAAGGTCCAGCTTCCAGCCTTGTCGAAGGAGGCTGGAATGTCGTTGCCCGATCACCTTTGGCGATTGCGAGTTATGACCCCTTTAAATCATTTCTCATGATGCCTACAAACCGAATGTCGATTTTTGATTGCACTACGCATAAACCCGTGCTCGTGGGCTTCACCGAAGTGGTAAACGTCTGAGGCCTGCATCACTTCGGGCTTTCCTCCTACATTAAGCTGACATATAACTGCCGTGATATAACTGGAATAATGTTAAAAGCGGCGTTAAACCAAACTCACTCACTCACTCACTCAGTGGGAAAACACTTGGTTACAATACCCTACATGTTATATCAGGTCGCAGCTTCGATACACGTCGTTGAAGGTTATGTGAAATAATAAATGTTGACTCTTAACCAGTCAAAAATCAACATCTGATGCGAATTAATTGATACAGTTTAAAACGAGGTGAGGTGAAATTGGGCTTAACGTCGCGTCCAAGATTATTGCACTTACATGTATATAGCGACGTGCATGCACGTGTGTGTGTGTGTGTGTGTGTGTGTGTGTGTGTGTGTGTGTGTGGCTGCTTGTACTAGTCCGGACTGATGCCGATTTATAGTGCTAGCTCACTGAGATACCATGCCGCAGTTTAACATGAATACCCCACCAAGACACAGTATACTGACTCCGAGCCGACCAGTCCTTGTTTTATCCCATTAATGCCGAGCACCAGACAGGGTAACAACAAGTACCATCTTTTAACGTCTTTTGGTATGACGCGGCCGGGGATCGAGTTCAAAACGAATACCAGCAAGGTCTTTTGTATGATTCAAAATAAAACCTTACGTCCAACTTGAAAGAAGTAAAACTCTAAAGCAGGTCTAACTGGAAAAGGAAGACCTCACTAAGTTTGACTAACGGAAAAAAGTAACAATGCTTAATACGAAGTTCAATAAAAAAACAACTTTTTCTTAATGTAATAATGCAAATTTTAATACATATTCTGGAAGACATCTCCTTCATGTTAAGGGCGTGATTCACAATTAACAGATGCATGTTAATACACGGCGAACATTTTGGGTGTTCGCGTGTTTGTTAGGAGCATGATACTCACACATGTTTTTTTAATGTGAACAGTGAGTGAGTTTGGTTTTACGCCGCTTTTAACAGTATTCCAGTTATATCACGGCGTGTCAGCTTAATGTGGGAGGAAAGCCCGAAGTGATGCAGGTCTCAGACGTTTACCACTTCGGTGAAACCCACGAGAACGGGTAAGGTGCTGACAAACCTAGAAACATAATCGGGGCGAACCGGGATTCGAACCCACAATCATAGGTTTCTGGCGTGCCCAAGGGACGCAACTCTGCACAGCGAATCGCGGCGCCTTAGACGACTGGGCCACCCGTGCCCCCCGTCCACGTGTAACGTCAACAAGACAACTATATTATATTGGCGCATCTATAGAATTTATCCCAAACAGCTCGGACAGTCCTGGGCTGAGATCAATAAGGGGAAGAACCGTACGCAACCGGTCGAGGGAGCACACCATCCGACCCCGACGTCCAGCGATACGCACAATTATGCTTCCACGTCACCGTCAGGCACGCCAAGCTTGGTGTAGACAGCAGCTGATGTTCAGAAGACAAGACTGGGACAGTATGGTTTCGTCTGGGCAGCTCTGGTGGTCGTGCAGGGGTCTACAGGCGTCTATGAGAACGTATTAGCAACGCTTGCGTTACTCAACGTCGTCCGTTTGGGGGTGGAAGTGTAATGGTATGGGGCGGCATCACAACGCATGGGAGAACACAACTCATTGTAATGGCAATTTGAATGGCGTACGTACGCTACCGGGACGACATCTTTCGAGATCATGTTCTGCCCTTTGTGCACATGCAGGCACGTAACGTCACGTTGTAGAAGTATATTGCCCGCCCACTTGTTGCACGTGTTGTAACAGTTTTTTACGAGGAACTTAACATTGCTCTACTGCCATGGCCGGCTATTGACTCCTCCCACAGAACATGTCTGGGATCAGATGGATGTTTTCAATCGTCTGGTGTCTTCAATGCACCGCCGCAACCTCGTCTGTATCAAGGCAAATAGTGGTCACACCCTATATTGACATTGTTAATTAAGTTGTCACAACAACCCCTTTTAGGGCGTGTCGCTCTGTCTCTTGTTGCCAGGTATTGGTTTTGTCAATGAATTTGTTATGATAAAACCTTGATGACATTACCGTTAGAATAATCAAAGTCGTTCAGGGGTTTCAACTTGATTGAACCCAAGTATTTCCTCAAAGAAAAAAAGCCGTTATAGAACAAAGGGATGACGTCACTAGAGGTCTATCCGACATAGCCACGTCTCCGATGTGTTACGTTCATTGTCTGCATCATCCCCTGCGTCCTTACCGCACAGCCGAGATGAAGAATACATCCTCTCACCTACTTTCATGTTCTCTAAAGGCAACATACTTTCGACCAAGTGTAATTTCGTTTCCACCACCAGATGCCCCCTCCTTCTCTCCTGTTGACCTCCAGTTTGACCTCCAGTTTGGAAAGTCCCCCAAACTGTGCACGTGGGGTTAATCCTTTTGTGCCTCTATGCAAACAACCGTAATTGAATCGAAATAAACACACGCGAGGGTCCAGCTGGTCGGGCCAGCGTCCGGCCTTCCTATACATGGGGATGGGGCACGCTAAAACTGACGGTATCCCGACTGATGTGCATGCATACAACACAGTGGTTAATGGTTACTGTTGAGGCATTAACAACACCGTATTACCAAAGTAAAATATAATAGCAAAAGCATTTCTGAAGTGTATTAATGTTTCTTTGTTTGTTGTTAACGCTGCAATATATGAGGTATGTGACGCCGGTCTGTAAATAATCAAGCTCAGAAGAGACAATCCAGTGATTGACACCATGAGCATCGAATTACACAATTTGGAAACGATGACAATGCATCGTCCACGTCAGCGAGCCTGACCCCCCGATCCCGTAAGCCGTCTCTAACGGCCAAAATGGGTTGTTGAAGACCAATTCTAACCCGGATCTTCATGGTGTCTAAACTATGTTGATCATACTATCAATACTGTAGGGCGACATGGTGCTGTATTATTATATGGGTATTCTTACTAGTCATTGAAGTATTGCAATCGCCCAATATGGACAATCGCGGTACCAAAATACAAAGCAATATTGTTGGTAGAGTGAGTGAGTGGGTTGGGTTTCAAGAAGCTTTAAGCAATTACAGCAATATCAAGGTGGGCGACACGAGAAATGCGTTTCACATGTGCTAATCCAACCCGTACCTTCAGCGTGACGGACAAGGCTCCAACCACAGCCGCTGGGGGTAGAGCGTTAGTCAGGTTAGATAAAAGCAATTTAAAAGTACGCATTACATATTATCATAAAAATGGTCACAGTGTCGCTAATGTCGGACATGTTTAATTAAAAAATGAGTTGATCTTTTAAATAATACTAAAAACTATCCCCAACTATTTTAGATCCATGTCACATATATATGAACAGTTTGCCGTTTACAGTAAATACAAACGTACATATTACTAATAGTTAAGTAATTATCAAAACGATATTACACAACCGTCAGAATGAACATATATCTCGAAATCTGTTCAAATAATAATTAACTTTATGTGATAGTAGAATAAAAATGTGATTAATCTGATTTAGAAATGAAACGAGAACAGATCTAATACAGATATTGACATGTAGTCAATGACAACAAACACTAGTGTTTGATCGAGAATATACTTCTACAGATAATATTAACAGTGGCCAAACGAAAGTACAAACTTGAAACTGGATTTGACCAAAACGTTACAAACGTTATTGAGACATTACTAGACGGAACAGAACACAGTCACCGAAACATTGATATATAGACCCGTGATACTCGTATCAAATACATCACCATCGAATAACATTTTTTGTTTGATCCATTTTAACCACCATCCAATATAGGTGCATACTTTCTTTTGCCCGGGTGTTTAGTTAATAAATTTGCACAGGTAATAACATGGTATGAAGTGGACTGATTGACTCCCAGTATAAATATGAAGGCGGGTCCGAGAGGCCCAGCGCCTCTTTTCGGCATCGAGCATCGGGTTCCAAAGACTCATGTCTACCTCTGTGGTTGGCTATGCTAAGTATATTTAACTATGGAGTTGACGGCAAGAAGTACTATAGGCGAGCAAACACCTCCATCATCTAAGAGAGCCTTATGTATAAACATACCATGAAACTGTCCTGTGTTTGAAATAGGTCTCTTGTATCTGTTCATAGGGTCGAGAGAAACGTTTCATTTATATGTGTAAAATAGTGTTACAGTTACCACCGCCTTGTACAAGGGAGAGATGGGAGTGGAATGCGGAAGTACATAAATAATCAATCTGTTATTGGTCAGTCGGGGATACGCTGGTACCAAATGAACGTTGGTACCACACTCATTTCGCCTCCGTTATGTGTACTGTTGTTCGAAGAGAACATATTACTGTCGAGAGACACGTGTTGTAGACATGGGTTGGTTGGTTTGTTGTTTTACGCCGCACTCAGCAATATTCCAGCTATATGACAGCGGTATGTAAATAATCGAGTCTGAACCAGACAATCCAGTGATTGATATCATGAGCATCGTTCCACGAAATTGGGAACGATGACATGCTTCAACCAAGTCAGCGAGCCTGATCACCCGATCCCGTTAGTCGACCTCTTACGACCAGCATAGTCGCCTTTTACCGCAAGCATGGGTTGCTGAAGACCTATTCTACCCCGGATCTTCACGGGTCTGTAGACATGGGAAGTTGATATATAAGTATATGGTATTTATTCTGAATTACTTTATCATACATCGCTCAAACAAAACTTCAACATTTGTTGCTCAATTAATTAATGAGTAGCCCCAGGGTAATTAACATTGGGGACCACCATCACTCGGGCGCCTCGACCCCCGTTATTGCGCCACAGTAATTAGCACTCGGGACATTGTCACTCGGGCGTCTCGACATCCTGTTACTGCGACAGAGTAATTAACAGTTCAGTTCAGTTCAGTTCAGTTTTATTTCTCTGAAAAACCACCAACGGTGGTACAAGAGTATATATATATATACAACATATAATATACAATGTAGATCAAGTTAAGATCAGTTACTGCGCCAGAGTAATTAACATTGGGGAACTTCGTCACTCGGGCATCTCGACTCGTTATTGTACCAGAGTAATTAACATTGGGGACCATCGTCACTCGGGCGTCTCGACTCGTTATTGTACCAGAGTAATTAACATTGGGGAACATCGTCACTCGGGCGTCTCGACTCGTTATTGTGCCAGAGTAATTAACATTGGGGGACATCGTCACACCAGTCCCACCTCGGGCGTCTCGATCCCCCGTTGTAGCACCACAGTCGGCCCGAGGGACGCACACCTCCCCCAGAGGGGTCCCGGCAGTAGTTTCCGGCCAGGGCAGCTGTCTCGCCCAGGTTGTTGAAGTGAAGGTCCCTATAGCGGTGCCTGTTCGGAGACTGAGAGGTCCAGCTTTGACACGTCAGGCCACGGTTGGTCGTAGATAGTGTTCCGTGATAAACCCGGACGCCGTTTCTCGTCAAGAAGCAGCTGGTTACTGAAAACGCAAAACCTTACATAGTATGTGTTGTTTTTTGCTTGTTGTTTAACGCCGCACGTGTGCGTGTGGCTGCTTGTACTAGTCCGGACTAGTGCTAGCAGTTTAACATGAATACCCACTCAGCCACTGACCCCGAGCCGACTATTCCTTGCTTTAGCCTCTTAATGCCGAGCACCAGACAGAGTACCAACGAGTGTCATCTTTTAACGTCTTTTGGTATGACGCGGCAGGGGATCGAACCCCGAACCTTCCGCTCTCCGGGCGGACACTCTACCGCTAGACAACGGAGGGCGGTCCATTGTCATTGAATAGTAACGGTAATCCAATACACTGTAATAAACAAGGACATACCATCAGTGCATGCAAAGTTCGTGGGTGTCCAGGTCCCGTCAACACCACATGTTGAGTTATGTACACTCCCCGCCGTGCTCACCGACCCCGCCCTGCACGTGTAAACCGCCATCTTGTCCACAACTAACACGTCAGCGTTCGCTACAGCCGGTGGAGACAGGCACAGGGGGACTGGAGGAATTGAATGAAGAAGATATTCAGAAGAAAGACACAGGAAAACAACATTGCAACAACAACAACATCACAGTGGTTTTCAATGAAACTTGGTCGTTTTCATTTAAGGTTGTGTAAAAGGAAGGAAAGGCCCGTCCGTCAAAGAACAAAATACATTGATCTGGCCAACGTAACATAATACGTTTGTGCCTATCCCTCGAGGTACATGAAATTCGGGGTGACAAAGTGCTAGTATTTTTTATTCTGAACGAATTTTCATGCCCACCAAACATGTTACGCAGTCAAGTGCATATTTGAAAAACAAAACACCTTACAGAAAACGTAGCCTGAAACAGGCTCCCCTCTGTAGGGTGGGACGGTGTTCACCACCTACCTTGACACCGGGTGCCGGACCACACCACAGGGCAAGAACACCTACAGGAGGCCACGTCCATCGTCCCGCCATTCTCACAGGGAGCACCACACACTGAACAAGAGGTAGGACGTTAAAGAATGATGATAAATCTATAAAACCACTTCCATAATCATCATAATATCTTCTAAAAGAAGTCCATTGTTTAATTTTATACGTCCATTTTATTCTGTATTAAAGGATTAAGTATATCCCAAAATATTGCTATGTCAATCCAATTTCTGTAAATTCACAATCCGAGCAACTTGAATTGTTTACTTTTACGAAAGAATTTAATGTGTATTTATCATGCGATGAGACATAGGAAAATAATGTTATAGACTCTACTACTGTGAACGTACTACTTATAAATGTACTACAGGTCTGTAGCTTCCTCAGTACGGAAATAACGAATATCGGACACAAGGACCTTATTTGTCATGACTAAAGAGACATACGCCTTTCTTCACAAAACTCCCCCGTGTAGCCTCTTGGACATGCGCACTGACAGGCGTCATCCTGTAGAGTTCCGCCATTGTGACACGCCTTCTCACATCCTGCGGAGAAGAATGGACGTGTAACGGCATAAGCTAAGCTGATTCACAGAGGGTATAAGGTAACCAGCCACACCATTATATCTATATACAAAACGTATAGTATGACATGCTGACAAATCGTATCTACAACCAGTAATTCAGCGAGTGAGTGTTTTACGCCAGTTTGGCGGTTCTTTCACATGATCACCGCAACTCAGCTTAATGTAGAAGAGACAATGAAGATCCGGGGTAGAATAGGTCTTCAGCAACCCATGCTTGCCGTAAAAGGCGACTATGCTTGCCGTAAGAGGCGACTAACGGGATCGGGTGGTCAGGCTCACCGACTTGGTTGATGAATGTCATCGAAACAATTGCGTGGATCGATGCTCATGATGTCAATCACGGGATTGTCTGGTCCACACTCGATAATTTACAGACCGCCGTCATATAGGTGAAATATTGCTGAGTGCGGCGTTAAACAACAAACAAACCAAACCACAGTAGCTTCCACTTAACATATGCAATCAAGGGTACATACAAGTTATGCGAGGTAGGGGTCGGGTATATTTTTATCCCATTTATGCCATTTATATTTCCAGTGACTTGGGGTTTAACGACACTGGATCAATTGTTCAGGCAACATTACCAAAAATAAAAAAGACATGACCACACGAGCGAGCGTACTCACTGGGAGCGCACACACCACACAGGACCGGACACACAGTAGACAGGACCCGGTCACCACACAAGCAATTCGCGAGAGATGCCACACAGCCAGGAGGGTCGACGACCATGCTACAATTTGCTGAAGCCAAGCAGAACAAAGTTCATTTCCTCTCCACCTGATCACGAATAGGGTTGTATAATACATCGCCGGAAAACAATATTTTTAATCTGCTTCAAATAATTATATAAATATAGCGAAAGCTCAAGGTGATACAAGAAGCTACAAAATAACATACGAGTGGACACAACTAGTGACCTTAACCTCACAGTCTTGTGTGTACACACAGATACAGACGGTACGGGTTCGTATCCATACCGTTTTGTATTTACAATGTCCAATAACATTACATGCATTTGGTGTCAAATCTGCGAAATCTGGAAATGTAAACACTGAAAAATTCACTCGCAAATTTGAAAACGTATATCATTAATAAAGCATGCGTATTAACTTAAATATAATGCATGGTTGTTAACATGAATCAAGCATGGCTGGTAACATAAATAATGCATGGGTGTTAACATAAATATTGCATGGGTGTTAATATTAGTAATACCTGAATTTTACCATGAATAATGCGTGGGTGTTAACGTGAATAATGCGGAGGTGCATATATGAATAATTCATTGGTGTTTACATGAAATATGCAAGGGTGTTATCATAAATAATACATGGGGTTAACATGAATACTGCATGGGTGTTAACATAAATAATACATGGGTTAACATGAATACTGCATGGGTGTTGAGCTGAAGCCTCTTACTCTGCTCACAGCGTGTCCCTGTGTAGAGTCCTGGATGGAGACAGAGGCACTCACAGGTGACCGGGTCAACCACGCCGCCATTGCGACACGTCACATGCCTGCAGTCTGGCACTACAAGCATAAAAGGTCACAATACATAGCACGGCACTGTATCAGATCTTACATAGAGGGTCACAATACATAGCGCGGCACTGTATCCTGTCTTACATACAGGATCACAATACATAGCACGGCACTGCATCAGATCTTACATAAAGGGTCACAATACATAGCACGGCACTATATCAGATCTTACATACAGGGTCACAATACATAGCACGGCACTATATCAGATCTTACATACAGGGTCACAATACATAGCACGGCACTGTATCAGATCTTACATACAGGGTCACAATACATAACACGGCACTGTATCCTGTCTTACATACAGGGTCACAATACATAACACGGCACTGTATCCTGTCTTACATACAGGGTCACAATACATAGCACGACACTGTATCCTGTCTTACATACAGGGTCACAATACATAGCACGGCACTGTACCCTGTCTTACATACAGGGTCACAATACATAGCACGGCACTGTATCAGATCTTACATACAGGGTCACAATACATAACACGGCACTGTATCATATCTTACATACAGGGTCACAATACATAGCACGACACTGTATCCTGTCTTACATACAGGGTCACAATACATAACACGGTACTGTATCCTGTCTTACATACAGGGTCACAATACATAGCACGGCACTGTATCAGATCTTACATACAGGGTCACAATACATAGCACGGCACTGTATCATATCTTACACACAGGATCACAATACATAGCACGGCACTATATCCTGTCTTACATACAGGGTCACAATACATAGCACGGCACTGTATCAGATCTTACACACAGGATCACAATACGTAGCACGGCACTGTATCCTGTCTTACATACAGGGTCACAATACATAACACGGCACTGTATCAGATCTTACACACAGGATCACAATACATAGCACGGCACTGTATCTTGTCTTACATGCAGGGTCACAATACATAGCACGGCACTGTATCCTGCCTTACATATAGGGTCACAGTGCATAGCACGGCACTGTATCAGATCTTACATACAGGGTCACAATACATAGCACGGCACTGTATCCTGTCTTACATACAGGGTCACAGTACATAGCACGGCACTGTATCCTGCCTTACATACAGGGTCACAATACATAGCACGCACTGTATCCTGTCTAACATATAGGGTCACAATACATAGCACGACACTGTATCAGATCTTACACACAGGATCACAATCCATAGCACGGCACTGTATCCTGCCTTACATACAGGGTCACAATACATAGCACGACACTGTATCAGATCTTACACACAGGATCACAATACGTAGCACGGCACTGTATCCTGCCTTACATACAGGGTCACAATACATAGCACGGCACTGTATCAGATCTTACACACAGGATCACAATACTTAACACGGCACTGTATCAGATCTTACATACAGGGTCACAATACATAACACGGCACTGTATCAGATCTTACACACAGGATCACAATACGTAGCACGGCACTGTATCCTGTCTTACATATAGGGTCACAATACGTAGCACGGCACTGTATCCTGTCTTACATACAGGGTCACAATACATAGCACGCACTGTATCCTGTCTTACATATAGGGTCACAGTGCATAGCACGGCACTGTATCAGATCTTACATACAGGGTCACAATACATAGCACGCACTGTATCCTGTCTTACATATAGGGTCACAGTACATAGCACGGCACTGTATCCTGCCTTACATACAGGGTCACAATACATAGCACGGCACTGTATCCTGTCTTACATATAGGGTCACAATACATAGCACGGCACTGTATCCTGTCTTACATACAGGGTCACAATACATAGCACGCACTGTATCCTGTCTTACATACAGGGTCACAATACATAGCACGGCACTGTATCCTGCCTTACATACAGGGTCACAATACATAGCACGGCACTGTATCACATCTTACATACAGGGTCACAATACATAGCACGGCACTGTATCCTGTCTTACATACAGGGTCACAACATATAGCACGGCACTGTATCCTGCCTTACATACAGGGTCACAATACATAGCACGCACTGTATCCTGTCTTACATACAGGGTCACAATACATAGCACGGCACTGTATCCTGTCTTACATACAGGGTCACAATACATAGCACGGCACTGTATCATATCTTACATACAGGGTCACAATACATAGCACGACACTGTATCCTGTCATACATACAGGGTCACAATACATAGCACGGCACTGTATCCTGCCTTACATACAGGGTCACAATACATAGCACGGCACTGTATCATATCTTACATACAGGGTCACAATACATAGCACGACACTGTATCCTGTCTTACATATAGGGTCACAATACATAGCACGGCACTGTATCCTGTCTTACATACAGGGTCACAATACATAGCACGGCACTGTATCAGATCTTACATACAGGGTCACAATACATAGCACGGCACTGTATCATATCTTACATACAGGGTCACAATACATAGCACGGCACTGTATCATATCTTACATACAGGGTCACAATACATAGCACGGCACTGTATCATAGCTTGCAAGATCATACACCTTGTTAACGCTGTATAAAACAATTCCGACAAAGAAATACGGATTTTGTAAACTAACATTTGAGTTGATGTAAATATGTTACTGAACTCCAAAACGTCATGTTTTCTGGTAATACTAGAAGATGCTACTATATTGCTGTACACAACACAATGCAGATTAGTATGCAATGTTTTCACAAATATATGACCCACATGCACAGTATGTGTTTGAGATAATTCTAATGGTTATCATTTGCAGAAAGACATATTTATCACTAAATAATTCACAAATTTTATTACTACTTCATCAATATTGTTTGGATATATGTGACAAACCCATTACACAACTTTAATGTTATTGTACCTTATTTAAAAAATCTTCGTTACAAATATTCATATATTTACAAGAAAAGTAACACCTAAATAATTTCCAAACGCTTACTACATATAGTTATTATGTTTAGTTCTAGTTTTCTTTCAAGAGAGTAGTGAAACAGGAAAAGGAATATACGTGGGTTGCTTGACAGTCGGGAACGACTGCTGGACACGCAACATACCTCGCGTCTCGCACAGGTCGCCTGTGTATCCCACAGGGCAGCCACAGGTACAAGGGAGACTATCCTGTGTGCCTCCGTTCTCACATACCTTGTTGCACTCTGTATCGTCAAAGGAAAAGGAAAAGTAGTAAATAGAAGTAAGTGCTGCACATACTAGGTCTGCCGCTGATGTACTTGGTAAACGCGATACATCTTAGTAACTAGCAACAGCTACTAGAGTTACTAAGAAGTCAGGACGCACTGTTTCGATCAATTCATTGTTGCGTCATTGTGAACATTGTTTTGAAACTGTTACACAGTAATGTATGTGAACTTGATCGTCAAACGAACAAATGACGTTTACAAACAATACACGATAGTGTTTGTCAACATATGACATTGTCAACAACCTAACATGTTCTCCCCATTGTAGAAACATATCACCCGTTGGCATAGGGGAGGAATTATCGTAACCATTTGAGTTGGCGGGACACAGAGGAGTACACGGTACTTACTTGGAGGACAATTCCCGCACATGACGGGACACAGTGAGTGGTTGAACAATTCCACAGACGCACAGAACCCAACACCGAACAGTGGACAGAACACACGGTCAGACGCAGGACATTCTGAAGTAGTAAGAACAATAAGTGAACCAAGAAATGAGTGTTGTTTTACGCCGAACTTAGCTATATTCCAGCTGTATAACGGAGACCTGTATATAATCGAGTCTGAACCAGATAAGCCAGTGATGGATATTGCAAACAACGACCCAAGCAGCTGGCGACCTATATTTTCACATTCATATCAGAAACTCCGGGGTAGAATAGGTCTTCAGCAACCCATGCTTGTCGTTAGAGGCGACTATGCTTGTCGTAAGAGGCGACTAACGGGATCGGGTGGTCAGACTCGCTGACTTGATTGATGCATGTCATCGAATCGCAATTGCGTAGACCGATGCTCATGATGTCAATCACTGGATTGTCTCTTCTATACTCGATTATTTCCAGATAACCGTCATATTGATGGGATATTGCTGAGTACGGCTTTAAACAACAAACAAATAAAAATAAATAGGACATTGTGGGAACAGGCAGCTGAGTCAGCAATATACATGCTATGTCACAGCGACCTGTCAATCATAGAGACAAGCAAGGTAATCACTATCACACTACGACACGATCGTGAATGAGGTTCGTGTTGCTTGACTTCACGTTGATCAACAAGTTTCATTATTATAAAAAAATCCAGTTTTATTATTAATTTGGAACCAGTTCCTGGTCTTATCTCGCATATGTTCCGAGAACGATGACAACGAACTGACTCCCTCACTAACCCTGTGTCTGACATAAATCGCCGGACAGATTCAGTGGACATTTGCACGAGCCATCAGGTTGTGGAATCACACCGTGTTTGCAGGATTCACCGCTTCCACCTACAACAGAGAGGCATATCCGATTGATACTTGTTGTCTACAGTCATAACTCAAATACCAACTAAATTCTCTGTGACAGGTATGTACAAAGGAGAAAGTATATATATTTGAAAAAATAACATATTTTACACAGAATTCCTTTTGCGGTTGTGTTTCCATACACGTGAAAAGGTTGTCCACGCCTATTAATGTACTACTGTCGATAGAGTTGACTGGGCTCTCTGATTTCGTATCGTTGTCTACAGTATATAACATAAATTATTATTGTGGACTAATTTACTTGTATGAGTTGATGTTTAAAAACTGATATGCACACTGACTTTATGAATATACCTCAATTAACGCAAAACTATATCGAAGTCAAGTCTTAAACGTATAAGATCATATGAATTTGATCCTATTTCCAAAGATGAAATTTCCACAACTAAGATGTCAATTTCTTGTCTCAAAAGAGTGGAGGAGAAATTTATCATCACATTAGATCGGTTAATCATGTTGTCTCGTTCACCCATCTACACCAATTACAAATTTTAAAACCAAAGTGGGTTTTGAGTCTCGCAAATCAATGACAATGTTGATTGCGAAATGGCACGTTATCGAACACGTTTTCTTGATCATTGATAAACACACACACTCAGTACGACAGTTTATAACTATTTAGGATTAAATAAAACTGAGAGTGAGTTTTTCACTCACGTCTGCTTTTAGCAATATTCCAGCAATATCACGGCGGGGTACACCAGAAATGGGCTTCACACATTGTACCCATGTGGGGAATCGAACCCGGGTCTTCGGCGTGACGTGAGAACACTTTAACCACTAGGCTACCCGACCGCTCTAGTAATAACATGAGAAAAGATAAGAACAAAGTAACATAGATCCACGTGAGTGGTTTCACTCAAGGAACAAGGAGGCACGGATGGCCGATGAGCCGCAATTTGTTGTGCACCTCCTTCATGTCAGGATGCGCTAATCTTGGGTTCGTGTAATTATTAAACCAGACGTTTTGGTTTTGACAAATATTGTAAACATCTAAACATCTAAGACCTGCATCACTTCGGACTATCCTCCCACATTAAGCTGACAAGACATGATGTTATTGAAACACTGCTCATAGCGTCGTCAAACAAGATATAACATGTATTACTTATTGCGAAAGTCAACCGTAACAGAGGCATAAAATAATATAGTAAATACCAAAAAAGGCCACATCGTGAGGATATATAGTTTGCTCTCGAGATAATTGGTTCGAATTGTACATAAAAGCGACAAAACCATTTCCATATTCAAAAGAAATCTCTGTTAAATACGATTTCGACTATATTAATTATGAGCATGTGTGAATTATTTTACCATTATCAAATAGTGATGATACCAGGTGTTCGCGAAGAGGTGAGCATATCTGCCCAACCGGACATGCAAAGGCAAACCAGTTGGAAACAACACGGGAACATGTGGTACAAGTCAAAATAAGGAATTGCATCGGACATCATTTCTGTCACTGATGCGTCAAATTTGGATATGTCCTCCACATGTCTACCATAAAACATTTTGAAAGCTTAACTGAGGCCTTAAATGTTGTAACCTTGATTAAACAACTTCTGAGCTAGAGTCACATGACGCTCTTTGAATTCTTGGTAGAAAGAGCATGCTCTATTTTATCTCAAAAGTTGGAGCTGCTGGAATATTGCTCGACATGAAGGGAACGTTGACTGTTGGAAAGTTGAAGTCATCCCCTTGGCATACAGTCTTGTGGACAGTGTTTTGTCACTCGTTATGCATAGAAATAAATATGAAAATCAAACATGGCAATATGATATGCATATATATCGCCACACAATAAACATTCACACATATAACATCGATTTGCGAAAAGCAGTAATTAATCGAAACGTTCAACCTGAACTCTATGGTTTGTACTCTTTACCTTGAGAGGCAGTCAGCTGAACAGAGACAGCAATAACGGCAATGATGAAGACCCTCATGTTGGTGAAGTCTGATCAGAGAATCCCTGTAACCTGTACATATATGCTCAGTTGAGTGCATCATGAGTAAGCTGGGGACAATGCTCTGATACAACAAGCTCCAGGTCCTCTTTACAAACAGACAATACGACTGTTCAAAACAAGCCTGCAATAGGCTAAGGCTTTCCTTAAATGTCCTCAGATCCCTCATAAAAATCAGTGTTAAATTTGTCACGTTACTAATTCCGTAAACAATAAAAGAGGGCAACATTGTTTTCTGTCATTGATAATAGATCTTATTGCATCTCCAAGATTTGCGTTGTTTGTGGTTTGTTTGTTGACGAATGTAAGGTGACCTGCCACAATAGCAAACATTCCAGAGCTTGTTGCTGTGATCACATCAAAGGTGAGAGTTAAGTTAAGGTCTTCTTTGATAGGAACTCGTGACGAGGCACGCTAAGGTAACATGGACAGACCGTTGTGACGAGTTGGAGTCACTCCAAGCAAATGAACACGTTGAGTGACCCCATGAATGAACTTGTAACATTGATGAATGAACTACCTTCTTATCTATTTCGGCAGATACGAGACACTGATTATTTTCTGGCTTTGACGTTTTTGATAAATTTTGTGGGAGGCCAAAAAGGGGAATGAACATATGATCAGTCCCAAAAGTTAAAGAAAACAAGTCTGCTTCAATAATTAACACGATCAGTTTACGAAAGAATTGAATATAGTCTGTGAAATAGATAAAAAAAATTTTTTTTCTCAATTGACCTACAAAATATGAATTTCCAAATTTATTAAAAGATAATCCTCATAAATAAATTAGAGTGAGTGAGTGAGTTGGGTTTAACGCCGCTTTTAACAGTATTCCAGTCATATCACGGCATGTCAGCTTAATGTGGGAGGAAAGCCCGAAGTGATGCAGGTCTCAGACGTTTACCACTTCGGTGAAACCCACGAGCACGGGTATGGTGCTGACAAACCTAGAAACATAATCAGGGCGAACCGGGATTCGAACCCACAAACATAGGTGTCTGGCGTGCCCAAGGGACGCAACTCTGCACACAGCGAATCGCGGCGCCTTAGACGACTGGGCCACCCGTGCCCCCCCATAAATAAATTAGAAGGAAACTAGTTCGTTATATTAATCAGGAAAAACGTAATTTACAGTGAAATTATTTTCTCACTAATCATGAATTTTAATGAATGAGTTATACAGAGTTTTACAATGCCCATTTACAATGAAGAAGGAAGCTCAACACTGAAGCTTTGTTTAAGTGTATACGGACAATACCAAGCATTGTTTCTCAAGCAGGGACGCCAGCAGCAGCGGGATACGTGCACGGTGTCACGTACTACACGCAGGGGCTACTTCACTCCGCCATCTATTCCCTCGACACCGTCATGTGTTTTCCGTCTCATAAACCATGCTTATCTAGTATACGTTGTGTACTACGATTCCAGGGTGACGTGCTGAACGTGTTGCCGAATCAGCATTCTTTGTAAGCTACCTATGAATGAATAGGTGATTTTGAAATCAGCAATAGATAATACAACTTATATCTTTGAAAAGTGTTTATTCAAAGTAGGTATTTTCAACCATGTTCCCACTACGACACCTAGGGTATTTCTTTTCAATTAGATATAATTAAATTTTCATTGGGTTCATTGAAATTCCTGCATTCTGATTAGCTGAGTTGGTCACGTGTTATTGCATTCATTTCCCAATGAATGTAAACAAATAAGCCACGCCCACCGAAGCGGACTACTTTTACTACTACTGAATGTCGGGGAATCCAATATTACAGTCGAGGGAATTCACTCTCTGCTCGTGTGTATCGTCATGCATAGGACATTCAGCGAAATTCATGCATATCCATTGTCCAAACAACTTTTTTGGACCGAAGGCCGAGAAGGAATGAAACAGCAAACGTGCCGGCTCGCTCGACTGTTTATTCCCCGCTCGTCTCGGTTCAACAACTTTCATATCTTCGGGTTTCATTAAATTTTCTAACTAGCATTTTTCCAATTGTGTCTTCCCATTCTCAGAGATTAAATGTTCGAATGTGGCGGCAACTGACCATGTCATTTGAAACAGCCGCCTGCCTTCTCCCGGACATATTTGGTCCGGTTCGTTACAGTCTGACTGCTGCAGTTCTTCTCACCTCTTTCCTTGATTGACAGGTCCAATAAACTTTGTTTTGATTCTACTCTCCGTTGATTAGCTATTGACTTTGTAGGCGTGTCAATATATGTGCATAAATTAAAGAATCACCCGATTTATGTCACACCACAGTATGTGTTCCTACACCTCGAATCTCGTCATTTTTGACTGCTTTGATATAAACAACTGTTTTTGGTTGCAAACTTTTGTAAGAATCCGCTACGCGCATTCATTCAGTTTGCACATCGGTTTTGTCGATTCATACCTCAATAAACCGAAAACAATACACAGTCAATCTTTAAATAGATGATACAACCCTACTGGTGGTGAAATCAGTGAAGACCGAGAGTACACACTCACACTCACACACACACACACACACACACACACACACACACACACACACACACACACACACACACACACACACACACACACACACACACACGATCATCGTCGTAATTGGGTGACAATCATATCAACTGTCTGGCAAAGGAAAACATACACCCATGTTTGATATGGTGACTAAACATGACACGAATAAGGAATGGTAGTCGATGGTGACATATTTGATACGGCTATGTTTGGGCCTTAAGTTTGCAGTATTTCAGCGACTGTTTTTAGCCTATTTACGTTTGTTTTGATAATGTTTGTAATTATTTGGTCAAATCCAATTTCCACGTGTATACCTTTTTTTGCACAGTCATATATAGCCACGGGTGGCCCAGTCGTCTAAAGCGCCGCGATTCGCTGTGCAGAGTTGCGTCCCTTGGGCACGCCAGAAACCTATGATTGTGGGTTCGAATACCGGTTCGCCCCGATTATGTTTCTAGGTTTGTCAGCACCATACCCGTGCTCGTGGGTTTCACCAAAGTGGTAAACGTCTGAGACCTGCATCACTTCGGGCTTTCCCCCCACATTAAGCTGACATGCCGCGATATAACTGGAATACTGTTAAAAGCGGCGTTCAACCCAACTCACTCACTTACTCACTCACATACAGAAGGGTTACAGGCAGACATATTGTACACAGGGTCCCAAAGCAGATCCTAAGATGAACCGGATCAGCGCGTGCTGGTGTTTGGGGCTGCTGCTTTCTACATGTATAATGTTGATATTAACTCGTATCAGTATTTCAATGCTCTCTACATATAGAAAGTTACATATTAACTCGTATCATTATTTCAATGCTCTCTACATATAAACAGATACATATTAACTCGTATCATTATTTCAATGCTCTCTACATATAAACAGATACATATTAACTCGTATCATTATTTCAATGCTCTCTACATATATACAGTTACATATTAACTCGTATCGTTATTTCAATGCTCTCTACATATATACAGTTACATATTAACTCGTATCGTTATTTCAATGCTCTCTGCATATATAAAGTTACATATTAACTCGTATCAGTATTTCAAAGCTCTCTACATATATACAGTTACATATTAACTCGTATCAGTATTTCAAAGCTCACTACATATATACAGTTACATATTAACTCGTATCATTATTTCAATGCTTTCTACATATATACAGTTACATATTAACTCGTATCAGTATTTCAATGCTCTCTACATATATAAAGTTACGCATTAACTCGTATCAGTATTTCAATGCTTTCTACATATATAAAGTTACGTATTAACTCGTATCAGTATTTCAATGCTCTCTACATATATAAAGTTACGTATTAACTCGTATCAGTATTTCAAAGCTCTCTACATATATAAAGTTACATATTAACTCGTATCAGTATTTCAAAGCTCACTACATATATAAAGTTACGCATTAACTCGTATCAGTATTTCAATGCTTTCTACATATATAAAGTTAAGTATTAACTCGTATCAGTATTTCAATGCTCTCTACATATATACAGTTACATATTAACTCGTATCAGTATTTCAATGCTCTCTCAGATATAAAGTTACATATGAGCTCGTATCATTATTTCAATGCTCTCTACATATATACAGTCACATATTAACTCGTATCGTTATTTCAATGCTCTCTACATATATAAAGTTACATATTAACTCCTATCAGTATTTCAATGCTCTCTACATATATAAAGTAACATATTAACTCGTATCATTATTTCAATGCTCTCTCAGATATAAAGTTACATATGAGCTCGTATCAGTATTTCAATGCTCCCTCAGATATAAAGGTACATATTAACTCGTATCAGTATGTCAATGCTCTCTACATATATTCAGTTCCATATTGACTCGTTTCAGTGTTTCAATGCTCTCTCAGATATAAAGTCACATATTAACTCGTATCAGTATGTCAATGCTCTCTACATATATTCAGTTCCATATTGACTCGTTTCAGTGTTTCAATGCTCTCTCAGATATAAAGTCACATATTAACTCGTATCATTATTTCAATGCTCTCTACATATATACAAATACATATTAACTCTTATAAGTATTTCAATGCTCTCTACATATATACAGTTACATATTGACTCGTATCAGTATTTGAATGCTCTCTACATATATACAGTTACATATTAACTCGTATCATTATTTCAATGCTCTCTCAGATATAAAATTTCATATTAATTCGTATGAATAGTTCAATGCTCCCTACATATATTTGTTTTTATATCTGAATATGATTTCACGACGTATTTAGGTTTGACAACAAATTAGAGACACAAAGGTTATTAAGAAGATGAGATACAAACATGTGTCAGGTTTACAGCTGTGCCACCGCTGTGCGGGTTCCCTACAATGCATTGTCCTTGACGAGGAAGTATTTGTTCCTCTCGGCAAATATACATCAAATCCATAACACCTGTAATCTGGATCTGTCAGTCGCAGGTGAAATGACGTAGTGTGGATACTTGTGTGTCGACATAGTACAGATGTAGACGGCGGGTTGTACATCAGTTGCTAGTTACATGCACGACTATCCATGCCGTTGGTACGACAGCAGACATTTAACCAGGTCACACACTGTCATGTGCCATATGCAAAGGATTGTTTTCGTTTGTTTGTTGTTTAACGCCGCACTCAGCAATATTCCAGCTTTATGACGGCGGTCTGTGGACCAGACAATCCAGTGATTGACATAATGAGCATCGATCCACGCAATTGGGATACGATGACATGCATCAACCAAGTCAGCGAGCCTGACCACCCGATCCCGTTAGTCGCCCCTTACGACAAGCATATTCGCCTTTTACGGCAAGCATGGGTTGCTGAAGACCTATTCTACCCGGATCTTCACGGGTCGCAAACCTAATACAACCCTATTAAGACGCATCCTTTGATTTCGACTGACCTCAAAACTGTTAGATGACGTATAATTAGGGGACAGCCCTAAGTTGACTGGATGCTCGACTTTATTAGGAATGACTGTTCATGATAAAGTAATTCTGTCATCTGGACACTGGATATAATATCACGACAGTTATCCTTATCGTAAAAACTATTTCGTTTTGGGGAAATGCGGAATTTCGAATAAAATGCAAGTTGAACTTTGAATGGCAATAAAACATATACGGGAACAGATGGTGAAAGTCAAAATAGGGAATTACTTCAGGCATAATTTGTATCACTGATACAGATTTTTTAAAGGATTTACTTAGGCCTTGAATATTGTAACCTTTGAACAAAAGACGCATGGCACCCAGACGTAAAACATTTGACATCGTAAAACGAAATTGATACTTAATACTCCTAATGCTTCAGACTCATGTGGCAGTTCAGATTAAGATGTCTTTATGTCTAAGTTTTTAATATCTGCCGCAAATGTTTGTGCAAATGATGAACAAAGTCGATTGCTTTGTTAAGAAGTTTTGCTTAAAACGAAAACCCAATCCGCTGATGGTTATGCCGGATCCCAGATTACCCCGATTATAATCTTTAGTTTGAAAACATCATCGTGCCAGTGCTCGTCAGTTTAGCGTTCGTGGTAAACGTATACGACACACACTGACCTGAAACTAAATTTTAATAACCCCCCACTGTCTCGGATAAACTCGAGGCCCAGTTATAAAGGCCTGCCAGCAAACGATGGTCGTGGGTTCAAATCCCAGATTCTCCTGATCAAGTTTCCTAGTTTCTCAGAACCATACCCGTAGGTTTCATTTGCATCGGGGGGCGGTCGGGTAGCCTAGTGGTTAAGGCGTTCGCTCGTCACGCCGAAGACCCGGGTTCGATTCCCGACATGGGTACAATGTGTGAAGCCCATTTCTGGTGTCCCCCGCCGTGATATTGCTGGAATATTGCTAAAAGCGGCGTAAAACCATATTCACTCACTCATTTGCATCGGACTTTGCTCCAACCTGAATATGCAACTCAACGTGATATAACTGATGTACGGTTCAAAGAAGCGTTATACTGACCCCACTCACTTTTGACTTTACACAATGCCTATTGGAGAACGTTCAACTGTTTCAACTGTACTATACACTTATCCACCTCGAGCTTCCACCTGGATCATCTTCATCTGTTCCTGCAGCAGCTGATGGTGTTTGTCCTAGCGGCATATCTCGGTCATATTTTACCTCGGTGTCGTTAAACAAATACACGTGTATGACTTATCTGTGTATAAATACAGCAGATGCTCTCGTTTAGTTTTACAAAGACTAGGTCTACCTGCCGTACAAATACAGGAAAAATGCACCCAGTATTTGTATTTTGTGTTCTTGGTTTCATGTCATATGGATACGGATACACATTTGGTAAGATTCAATTCTTTTTCAGAATTTATATACATTTTTCTAAAACATAATATTTCTAATTATTTGTATTAAAACATATGTATTGCCAATGTTTATTCTTTTGTAGGCCAGAAGAACCATTCCCGGTACAAAAGAGCGGTACGTTATTCATAATTGATCGTTGCAAATATGTTCATTTTTCAACAACTTCATGTACTAATATATAATTTGTAGGTAAATATAAGCTATTTCTTTTCACCGACTTAAAGGTGATTTTGTAATGTAAATGAATATCTCAAAGCATATTGTTGTACAAATTCATATACAGGTGCTTGGGTTTTGGTTTGTTTGTTGTTTAACGCCGAACTCAGCAATATTCCAGCTATATGACAGCGGTCTGTAAATAATCGAGTCTGGACCTGACAATCCTGTGATTGACATCATGAGCAACGATCTACGCAATTGGGATCGATGACATGCATCAACCAAGTCAGCGAACCTGACCACCCGATCCCGTTAGTCGCATCTTACGACAAGCATAGGAATCGCTCATTAACCAAGGATTGATATCCAAATGAAATGAACATCATATTACCAAATATGCGCCTTTGATAGATAGATAGATAGATAGATAGAAAGAAAGAAAGAAAGATAGATAGATAGATAGATAGATAGATAGATAGATAGATAGATAGATAGATAGATGTCACATTTAATCCAGACATGTGATCCTATCTACTCAACCATCACCCCCGACCACACTATGTGCCTGGACGACGCCCCGAACGCTACCCCCGCGCTGCTGACCGAGGAGGAACAACAGGACATGGTGGACCAGCACAACAACTTCAGGGCCCAGGAGGAGGCAGAGGGTATGATGAAAGTGGTAGGTCACAATGAATGAACTTCCTACTGTGTAATTCCTGGCTAGATGAACGTGGATGGTCACACTATGTGAACTTCTTACTGTGTAACTCCTATGAACATGCAATGCCATTTAGAAAGTGGTCAAATGTACCAAATGTTATATTTGGGATAACACTTTCTGAGTAAAGTACAGATTCTCGTACTTTTTTGGTTGAGTCCTATTTGGAATTGGACCCCACACTGCCAGAGTGAGGCAACTAATCGCCAACACACAAAGTCAGCGATCTAACCCACTCAGCAACCGAGGCTTCCACAAAATGAAAGTTCGACAAATGGTAGTCTAGATCACGTATTTTGTGTACCCCTCTGATAAATGTAAATTGGCACGGCTCCCATGACCGAAAGCTATGAACACACAATGCCATTTAGAAAGTGGTCAAATGTAAAAAAATGTGATATTTGGGATAATACTTTCTGAGTAAAGTAGCAGATTCTCGTACTCTGTAATTCCTGGTTAGGTGAACGTGGATGGTCACACCATGTGAGCTTCTTACCGTGGAATTCCTGGTTAGATGAACGTGGATGGTCACACCATGTGAGCTTCTTACTGTGGAATTCCTGGTTAGATATACGTGGATGGTCACACCATGTGAGCTTGTTACCGTGGAATTCCTGGTTAGATGAACGTGGATGGTCACACCATGTGAACTTGTTACTGTATAATTCCTGGTTAGATGAACGTGGATGGTCACACAATGTGAACTTGTTACTGTGGAATTCCTGGTTAGATGAACGTGGATGGTCACACCATTTGAACTTGTTACTGTATAATTCCTGGTTAGATGAACGTGGATGGTCACACAATGTGAACTTGTTACTGTGGAATTCCTGGTTAGATATACGTGGATGGTCACACAATGTGAACTTCTACCTGTATAATTCCTGGTTAGATGAACGTGGATGGTCCTAACGCGTATAATACACGTTTCCCCTTTGCATCAAAATGTGTCACCTACAGACTACTGTATTCCATATATATAACACAAAATTTGACCTATACAACACATTGTTTCACATACATGTATGTGTCAATGTGTTTCATATAAATAACACAATGCTTCCCCTATACTACAAAATGCTTAACCTATAGATCAATGTGTTTCATATACTAGCATGTAACACAATATTTTCCCTATAACACAAAATGTTTCACATATAGATCAATGTGTTTCCTGTATATAACACAATGCTCCCCTATACAACACCATGTTTCATTGTACAGTAAACTACGGTTATAACGAACTCAAAGGGACTAATAATTTTAGTTCGTTATAACCTTAGTTCGTTATAAGCATATATATAGCATAACTACAGCAAATAGTCGGGACCAAAAAAGTAAGTTCGTTATAAGCGTGTTCGTTATAACCATAGTTTATTGTACTGCGTTTTATTTCAGGTTTGGGATGAAAATATAGCTGTGGTGGCACAAAAGTGGGCTCAACAATGTTACGCGGGACACGAGAATGCATCTAAGAAGAGAGCAACGCCTAGTATGTACATTGTACATGTCTAAAATTCTAAATGTCATGTAGCTAAACAGGCTTTAACCAAATTTCAAAACAAACTAAGTACATGTTACAAATCATCGGAAATAGCAATGACTTAAACTCCTTTAGTGAACAACAACGACAGATAAAATGTTTCTACTTTTAAATGAATATACTCTGTTGTAATGTTTTTTTTCCAGATTTCTATTATTTCTAGAATAAAACACTACAATGAACTGTTTTCTAGGAAAACATAAGATTGTGCATGTTGTGTCAATAGTCGACCAAGGTGGTATACACAAAAGAAACTGGGGAACATTTGAGATTGAACGAACGCTTCCTGCTAATGCTCATTTGACATATGGTAGACAGGGAAATCTCTAGTCGAACACTATCAAGACACTAGTAGCTATTTGTACTTTGCTATATGTAAAACATTTATTACCAAATGAAGTATCAACACCCCACGTGTATCGTTATGCATTGGACACATGTTCTCTTGTCCAAGGAGTGTTAACGAGAATCCAGCTGTTAGCATGTCGATCAATCAATGATGTAAATAATTGTATTTACTAAATGTCTTGGTTTGTGACTCTAGGGAAACAACTTCTATTTATATCAGGCTGTATTAGGTCAGTAACACATGGCCAAGAATCGTCATGCACACAAAGTCGTAAAACTGTCACGATGCAAGCATGACACGCAGAATGCATTTTCCTAAGATGAGTTATCGCTAAATCTCCAATAGTATGATAGAGCCTGGAAATACGTTTATCGTCACACTTCACACCATCAAATAAAGAACGAAACCTAATAAGACACTTTCCATTCTTATAATGAAGGTTACATCGGTTTGTGGAAAAGTATTTTCATACAAAACTCCTTTTTGTGCCAACATTCTCTGACGGGGGATATTTCTTCTATTTGGGGCTAAAGTACATTTTGAAGAGATGTTTTTGCATCTAGCCGGGTGTGATAATTTGGATTATGTATACTTACTCATAAGTTTCTGTCGCGAGTGATAATTATTATTATGTACATTTACACATAAGTTTCTGCCGGGTGTTATAATTAGGATTATGTATATTACACATAAGTTTCTGCTGGGTGGGATAATGAGGATTATGTATATTACACATACGTTTCTGCCGGGTGTGATAATGAGGATTATGAATATTACACATATGTTTCTGCCGGGTGTGATGATGAGGATTATGTATATTACACATACGTTTCTGCCGGGTGTGATAATGAGGATTATGAATATTACACATATGTTTCTGCCGGGTGTTATAATTAGGATTATGTATATTACATATATGTTTCTGCCGGGTGTGATAATGAGGATTATGTATATTACATATATGTTTCTGCCGGGTGTGATAATGAGGATTATGTATATTACACATATGTTTCTGCCGGGTGTGATAATAAGGATTATGTATATTACACATAAGTTTCTGCTGGGTGGGATATTGAGGATTATGTATATTACACATACGTTTCTGCCGGGTGTGATAATGAGGATTATGAATATTACACATATGTTTCTGCCGGGTGTGATAATAAGGATTATGTATATTACATATATGTTTCTGCCGGCTTTGATAATAAGGATTATGTATATTACATATATGTTTCTGCCGGGTGTGATAATAAGGATTATGTATATTACATATATGTTTCTGCCGGGTGTGATAATAAGGATTATGTATATTACACATATGTTTCTGCCGGGTGTGATAATAAGGATTATGTATATTACACATATGTTTCTGCCGGGTGTGATAATAAGGATTATGTATATTACACATATGTTTCTACCGGGTGTGATAATAAGGATTATGTATATTACACATATGTTTCTGCCGGGTGTGATAATAAGGATTATGTATATTACACATATGTTTCTGCCGGGTGTGATAATAAGGATTATGTATATTACACATATGTTTCTACCGGGTGTGATAATAAGGATTATGTATATTACACATATGTTTCTACCGGGTGTGATAATAAGGATTATGTATATTACATATATGTTTCTGCCGGGTGTGATAATTAGGATCATGTATATTTACGCATAGTTTTCTGCCGGGAGTGACTATTAGGATTACATATGCATAAATCTCTGCCGGGTGTGGTTCTGAAGATTATGCATATTTTCCAATAAAGCTGTTCTTGGTATGTTGATTAGGATTACGTATATTTCCCCATATACATCTGACGGTTGTGATAATATATTTATCTATGTTTCTCCATCAAGCTCTGCCGGGTGTGATAATGGGCCAGAACGTGGCCAACTACTACGGGGCGGGCTACTCCTACCTCAGCGCGACGACACTGTGGCATGGCGAGATCGTGGATTTTGAGTACAGCACTGGATCAAAGAATGGCGGTGTGATCGGCCACTACACACAGGTACAGACTCTCTGACCAGTAGCAGCTTCGTGCTGCAGTAGCCGTCACGTGACATGCAGGTGGCGTGTACTGCTCATTTACTAGTAGAGATCGAAATAATGCCAATTAGAAATAGTTTAACGCCACTTTACGTAAAAATGATATAGGATGTTTATGGTTCTGGTTTAGATATGTCACTCGTGTAAACGTCTTTATATATTACATGGCTTTATTATGATACACTCCAATCATGCGATTGGTTCGTTGGTTTGTTTGTTTGTTTGTTGTTTAACGCCGCACTCAGCAATATTCCTGCTATATGACGTCCGTCTGTAAATAATCGAGTCTAGATCAGACAATCCAGTGATTAATATAATATCATGAACATCGATCCACGAAATTGGGATCGATGACATGCATCACCCAAGTCAGCGAGCCTGACCATCCGATCCCGTTAGTCGCCTCTTACGACAAGCATAGTCGCCTTTCACGGCAAGCATGGGTTACTGAAGACCTATTCTACCCCGGATCGTCACAGGTCTCCAGTCATACGAGGTCCAGAGGGGAGGCAGGGGTAGCCAACCACCCTTCCTTTTTGAAGCCACACTTCAGTGTAAATGTATGACAACACTACGGTGGCCCATAAGGGACATGGAGTCTGTTGTTCAATATTTTGATATTTCACTTACTTTTATCATAACCGTTTGCAAATTAACACAATTTGTCATACAAATATGTGATAAATCATGCATAAAAACAACCGAAAACACGGAAAATGTACTTTCAAGTAGCTATTGAATCGCTGAAATGTGAAACGAAAATGTCAATAATTCAATATTTTCTTTATACATGATTTATCACATAATTGTATGACAAATCGTGTTAATTTGCAAACGGTTACGATAACAGTAAGTGAAATATGAAAATATGACTCCATGTTCCTTGTAGGCCACCGCACAACACGATAATAAATTAAGTTAGTGATAAGTTTTCAACACTTAAAAACACCACCATACGCAAACTGCCGCTAGAATTGTTTGCATTCATTTAATGCTTACATTAAACATTTGATGCACCGACACACTCATTTTCCGATAACCTGTATTGGCGCTTGAGGATACTTTCTGTCTGGTTATATTCTGAAAAGGACAAATTACATTTGTGGCTGTTGCGAGGAGCATACACTGAAACCTAGACTACCAACAAATCATCGGCCAATTAATGCTGGATGTTACATTACCAGATACATCAACGAACGACCTTGGTGGTTTACTGTGTTGTAATGATATTCAGGTTGTTCTGGAACGGGTGACACGCATAGGGTGTGGTCGGGCGAGATGTGTGGAGGGAGACATAACGAAGGAGTACATTGTCTGCAACTACGCTGGAGGGTGAGTCTTTAACGGTGATGGGGTCGGGTTGAGGGATGAGGCCCAGGATGTGGCTTCAATATGATGGATGGAGTTTCTGCATAGCGTACATGAACATATGTTAATTGTAACAGTTTGCAATCTGATAAATATTTTTAATAATTTGAATTTGATTTCTCGGCACGGTTGTTTATGCAATCTCTTCTTGTATCGACACAGACCGCCTCCGTGGTCTAGTGGTAGAGCGTCCGCCCTGAGAGCGGAAGGTCCGGGGTTCGATCCCCGGCCGCGTCATGCCAAAATACTTTAAAAGAAGGTACTTGTTAATACTCCGCTCGGAGTCAGTATACTGTGTCTGAGTGGGGTATTCATGCACTATAAAATCGACATTAGTCCGGACTAGTACAAGCAGCCACACACCTCGCTATGTAAGTGCAATAATCTTAAACCCCATTTCACCTCACCTCACCATGTACGACACTCGATAATGCCATATGTGTCTCATTATCCTCAGCAATTCAAGCTAATGAGACCGCCTCCGTGGTCTAGTGGTAGAGCGTCCGCCCTGAGAGCTGAAGGTTCGGGGTTTGATCCCGGCCGCGTCATACCAATAGACGCTAAAAGATGGTACTTGTCGTGACCCTGCCTGGCGCTCTGCATTAAGGGACAAGGACTGGTCGGCTCGGAGTCAGTACACTGTGTCTGAGTGGGGTATTCATGTTCAACTTCGGCATGGAATCTCAGTTGGCTAGTACTAAACAATCGGCATCAGTCCGGACTAGTACAAGCAGCCACACACCTCGCTATATAAGTGTAATAATCTTGGACGCCACGTGAAACCCCATTTCACCTCACCTCACCTTGTACGACACTCGATAATGCCATGTGTCTCATTGTCCTCAGCAATTCAAGTTAATGAGCTGACGGGTTTTAAGTAAAAATAAGTGTATTTTCAATTTCAATATCAGAGCTAAATACTGCTAAAAACTAAACAAAATATTATCCAGACAGACCTCGGACGACACGAAGACACCCTTTAAGCTGTGCACAACTTCCTCCTGTCAGACCCAGTGTGAGACCAGAGATGCAAGCGGTTTGTGTGGTAGGTACATGTATATCTGAGGTGAAACATTATTAGATACTGTAAATCGTGAAATTAACGCGAGCTTCAATTAAATGTAAAATGTACTGCGAAAAACGTAAATAAAGCGAAAAATAAGCGGTGCAATTTGATGTGATTAGATTAATGTAAGGTTGGATTAAGGTGAAGTAAATCTGACAGAAGACATGTTCTTTATATATATCCACTGATGCTTGAGAGAAGGGGGGTGTCGCATTCATATTAAGTCGCATTTTTGGCTAGGTGCAAGTGGTCGCATTCTTTTGGAGACGCATTAATTTCACGATTTATAGTACTTTGTCTTTGGCTGGTGTGTTGTGTAGGAAATCAAAGTGATAAAATCATTTTAATAATCACGACACCTCTGCTAAAAGCAGAATCCATTATTCAATTCATACTATATCATAAGCATGTGTTTATGAATCATTATTAGATAGGAATAATACCAGGTGTTTGCGAAAAATGCGAGCGTATCCTGCTCCAGTGCACAAATACATACACAGGTAAGTCAACTGCTCGCCTGAAAAACCCATGGGTATGACGCGCTTTGACATCTTCGAAGAAAGAGCATGCTCGATTGTACCTCAGACGTGGTGAAAGGCTGGAGCTGCTGTCATATTGCTCGACACAAAAGGAAAGTTGACTATTGAAGCCATCATCGTCTTGCTGAGAGTTTGTTTTGTCACTCTGATTTTTTATGCATATATCTAAATATGAAACCGATAAGGCGGTTTCACTGGCCTCTTTTATTTCTAGACCATGTGGGTAAAACTGTGGAAGGGAATTGGCTATTTGACCATCAATTACGATAAAATAAACGTCTTGGCCAAATTCAGCTGTTGGATTTTGCCAATCCGTGCAGAACCTCCGATTCATGTGCATGAGGAAACAGCGAGGGGAGCATAATTGGTACCCATGAGGACGCCAACTTCTTGCCCAAACTCCTATCCCCAAAGTTCACGAAGAAGTCACCAACGAGAAGTCCAGCATTTCACATACTGTTTTCCTAGTATATTTCTTCTGATGATATTTGCTTTTATTTATGAATAATGCTACATTTAAAAGCCAACAGTTTGACAATTAACGATTCCTCGGTTTGCACGTAGACATGTCCGGACGTAGAATTTGAGTACTTCGTGTGTTGGTTATAATTACAGCATGATGGCTTGCATGTTAGTTACAACATGGGATTTTGTATGACTTCAGATTGCGGAGGAAAGACGTGTTTAAACGGAGGGACGCTTGACAAGACAACCTGTACCTGCGACTGTCCTGTAATATTCACCGGAGATTCATGCGAAACACGTAACATTTACATAGTTATCTATAACTCGATTTCATATGACGATATTCGTCATGTATTTCAACTAGGGTAATCTTAACAGATGTCGGTACACGTTATGATATTTTGGCCAATTTAAGGGGGTGATGGTGCGGTAGTATAATGAGAGTATTGATAAAAGAATATACCAGATGTACGTGTCAAACTAAGATTTGAGTGTTCCATTACCCTTACGCTCCGTAATTTGATAATTACCTTGGCGGTGCCAGGATGTAATGTTGGCCCTTTCAAACAGATTCCACCTTAATAAAAACGCTGGTCAACAAGCATTGTTCGTAGGTTTAACCTAAGGAACTGGACCGGTATCACTTGAGGCTTCGACCCATGAAGATCCGGGAAGAGAATAGGTCTTCAGCTACTTATACTTATGCTAAAAAGCGAGATCGGATGGTCAGACTCGCTGACTTGGTTGATGCATGTGATCGTATCCCATTTGTGTAGGTCGATGCTCATGACGTCACTTACTTGATTATTTAGTCCAGACCCGGTTATTTACAGACCGCCCTCATATAGCTGGAATATGGCTTGTTGCGGCGTTAAACAACAAACAAACAAACAAACAAACACTTGGAGCTTCCGCTCACGTTAAACTGATATGCTGGGATGTAACTGAAATGCTGTTCAAAGAGGCGTTCCCGACTATCAACTGTTCCTTTTTCAGTCGGGAACCTAGATGTTTACAAATCCCATTGACATAATACATGCAGCAGCTCAGGGAAACGTCGGAGGATAATGTGAAACTATTTTTCCCTTCAGATAATCAGTGCATATAAACTTGTCTTTCAGTGTCCTGCTCCACGCCTGACAAGACTTACTGTACAGACACTAATTACTGTAACTTTCAAAACCTAGTTCTTGAATGTCCAACATTTTGCGGGATTTGTCCAAGCCGTAAGTAGCTTAGCAAATAAATGCACAAATATAATTATTAATTCTAAATTTAATATCACATGTTTATGCACTGGGAGTTAGTGATGATACGTTAATGTCAACCAGAAACCTTGCGACCGCCTCCGTGGTCTAGTGGTAGAGCGGAATACCAAAAGACGTTAAAACATGGTACTTGTTGTTACCCTGTCTGGCGCTCGGTATTTAGGGGCTAAAACAAGGACTGGTCGGCTCGGAGTCAGTATACTGTGTGTGGGTGGGACATTCATGTTAAACTGAGGCATGGTATCTCAGTGGGCTAGCACTATAAATCGGCATCAGTCCGGACTAGAACAAGCAGCCACACACACACACGTGCATGTCTAAGAGTGAATATTATAAAGTGAATTTGAACCCATACCAGTGTGTTTAATCATATCCTATACTATACTCTATAGTAAAACTACCCCCCCCACCCCATCCCCACCCTCACCCCGGGATAATAATTAGGTAGGATATGATCCTTGCTTACACATGCACGTCGCTATATAAGCGCATCAATCTTGGACGCGATATTAAATCCAATTTCACCTCACCTCACACATTACGCCTTGCAAACACGTTCACTTGTGGTGAATTTCCTGTTCCATACATAGACATATAGGCATGTTAATCTGAACCTGTCACAGTCTGAAGCTCAGTGTATAATGTTGACATATTAGTCTGAAACTCATTGTATGATTTGGCCATTTTAGTCTTAAGCGTATTGTATGATTTGGCCATATTAGTCTAAAACGTATTGTATTATGTAAACCTATTAGTCTTAAAACTCATTGTAAGATGTATCCATATTAGTCTTTAACTTAGTGTGTGATGTAGACATATTAGCCTGAAATTCAGTGCATAATATAGACATAATTATTCGTCTGAAACTCGGCGTATAATGTCGACATCCTAGCCTTTGTGTCGCGTGTGTTGAGAAATGCTGTCCTCAAGTCAGTGGTTGGAGAACCAGTAGTTATACGTGACGTGATTGACCGCCGCCTTTTCTTGGCTATATATATATATATTCTTTATTCCTCCATAGAAGAGTTACAAACATATAAATACAGTATTTACAAGTGTACGAAAACAGGCATTCTTATGTTAAGTCTATCCCTGCTCACATGTCAGAACATATACTGTTTCTTCACAAGGGGACCGCCTCCGTGGTCTTGTGGTAGAGCGTCCGCCCGGAGAGCGGAAGGTCCAGGGTTCGATCCCGGGCCGCGTCATACAAAAAGACGTTAACAGATTGTACTTGTTGTTACCCTGTCTGGCGCTCGGCATTAAGGGGCTAAAACAAGGACTGGTCGGCTCGGAGTCAGTATACTGTGTCTGAGTGGGGTATTCATGTTAAACTGCGGCATGGTATCTCAGTGAACTAGCACTATAAATCGGCATCAGTCCGGACTAGTACAAGCAGCCACACACACACATACACGTGCATGCACGTCGCTATATAAGTGCAATAATCTTGGACGCGACGTTAAACCCAATTTCACCTCACCTCACCTTCTTCACAAGGTCTATATATTTCTTCAATTGGAAGAGACCTTTGATTGCAGCTTTTGCAAAGTGTATTTTACGGCCTCCTCACTCACTGCATATAATACATACGCACTTTAAAGTGACAGTGTTTTATTGAAGCTATCTTCATACTCTGGATATAAAACACTTTCGTCCAAAACCTTCTCATCCTTAAGGTATATATTTCCAGGACAAGCGTCCTCTTTCTAAATTTGGGTTTATTTATATATATTGACAATTCCAGACTGTATATGCCAAATCAATCCACAGTAATTATACCCAGCCCTCTTCAATCAAATGCAACATTAAACAATCATTATATGGCGGTACTCGTAGTTATAGTTTTGTAAAGAGTGATGATCACTTGTCTTGAGGTCACTATTTAGATGTAAGTAGGACGTTCCTACCGATGGCTGAGGAGGGTCATCGCATCAACGGCCAAACCTATCATAGGCAATGTGATGTTGCGATGAAATGCGCCAAAAATGTGATGGAAAATGCGATGCTACTTTGGAAGATTCGCAGCATCGCTTGCTGGAGGGGACCATGATGATGAGGTGGCCCTCGTTGGCCATGATGGTTCAATCTATATTTTACCAAGCTGCAACTGAGAGCTTCCATTGTCTATTTATTATCCCTGTAATCTTTTGTGAATAGAATGTTCCAAGACGTGTGAGAACGGTGGAAGTCAGAACTCCATCCCCTGTCTGTGTAACTGTGCCCCTGGCTGGACGGGCGACCTCTGTGACACACCAGGTAATCCATATAATCAGAACTCAATCCCCTGCCCTTGTGGCTGTGCCTGGCTGGACAGGCGACCTCTGTTACATACCAGGTAAATCTGTATAGTCAGAACTCCTTCCCAGGGACGGGCGACCTCTGTTACACACCAGGTAATCTGTATAGTCACATATCCATCCCTTGGGACGGACGATCTCTGTTACACACCAGGTCATCTGTATAGTCAGAACTCCTTCCCCGGGACGGGCGACCTCTGTTATACACCAGGTAATCTGTATAGTCAGAACTCCATCCCAGGGACGGGCGACCTCTGTTACACACCAGGTAATCTGTATAGTCAGAACTCCTTCCCAGGGACGGGCGACCTCTGTTACACACCAGGTAATCTGTATAGTCAGAACTCCATCCCAGGGACGGGCAACCTCTGTTACACACCAGGTAATCAGTATAGTCAGAACTCCTTCCCAGGGACGGGCGACCTCTGTTACATACCAGGTAAATCTGTATAGGCCTAACTCCTTCCCAGGTACTGGCGACCTCTGTTACACACCAGTAATCTGTATAGTCAGGACTCCTTCCCAGGGACGGGCGGCCTCTGTTACACACCAGGTAATCTATATAGTCAGGACTCCTTCCCAGGGACGGGCGGCCTCTGTTACACACCAGGTAATCTATATAGTCAGGACTCCTTCCCAGGGACGGGCGGCCTCTGTTACACACCAGGTAATCTATATGGTCACATATCCATCCCTTGGGACGGACGATCTCTGTTACACACTAGTAATATGTATAGTCAGAACTCCTTCCCAGGGACGGGCGACCTCTGTTACACACCAGGTAATATGTATAGTCAGAACTCCATCCCAGGGACGGGTGACCTCTCTTACACACCAGTAATCTGTATAGTCAAAACTCCTTCCCAGGGACGGGCGACCTCTGTTACATACCAGATAAATCTGTATAGTCAGAACTCCTTCCCAGGGACGGGCGACCTCTGTTACATACCAGGTAAATCTGTATGGTCAGGACTCCTTCCCAGGGTCGGGCGACTCTGTTACACACCAGGTAATCTGTATAGTCAAAACTCCATCCCAGGGACGGGCGACCTCTGTTACACACCAGGTAATCTCTATAGTCAGAACTCCATCCCAGGGACGGGCGGCCTCTGTTACACACCAGTAATCTGTATAGTCAGGACTCCTTCCCAGGGACGGGCGGCCTCTGTTACACACCAGTAATCTGTATAGTCAGAACTCAATCCCAGGGACGGGCGGCCTCTGTTACACACCAGTAATCTGTATAGTCAGAACTCCTTCCCAGGGACGGGCGGCCTCTGTTACACACCAGGTCATCTGTATAGTCAGAACTCCATCCCAGGGACGGGCGGCCTCTGTAACACACCAGTAATCTGTATAGTCAGAACTCCATCCCAGGGACGGGCGGCCTCTGTTACACACTAGTAATCTATATAGTCAGAACTCCATCCCAGGGACGGGCGGCCTCTGTTACACACCAGTAATCTGTATAGTCAGAACTCGATCCCAGGGACGGGCGGCCTCTGTTACACACCAGTAATCTGTATAGTCAGGACTCCTTCCCAGGGACGGGCGGCCTCTGTTACACACCAGTAATCTGTATAGTCAGAACTCCATCCCAGGGACGGGCGGCCTCTGTTACACACCAGTAATCTGTATAGTCAGAACTCCATCCCAGGGACGGGCGGCCTCTGTTACACACTAGTAATCTATATAGTCAGAACTCCATCCCAGGGACGGGCGGCCTCTGTTACACACTAGTAATCTATATAGTCAGAACTCCATCCCAGGGACGGGCGGCCTCTGTTACACACTAGTAATCTATATAGTCAGAACTCCATCCCAGGGACGGGCGGCCTCTGTTACACACCAGTAATCTGTATAGTCAGAACTCCATCCCAGGGACGGGCGGCCTCTGTTACACACCAGTAATATGTATAGTCAGGACTCCTTCCCAGGGACGGGCGACCTCTGTTACACACTAGTAATCCGTAAAGTCTGTGATCCCCTGTCTGTGTAATTGTGCCTTTGAGCATTAACACACAGTGCAGTCATGTGCATAGCGATATCCATTTCTCTATCGGACTTCTCTATATATGTCTGTATTGCAACAACACACTGTTTTACAGTCTGTTGTTGGCAGGGTATGTGCTGTGTAGCCTAAATTGTGTGTAGATATGCACCTTGTGTGAAGATCATTAACTACCTGTGGACAAATAGACGCGGCAACACAGCTGCAGGTTCAGTTTATTTGTTCGCATCCACACCATAACATTCAGTCAACCAAATGTATCAAATTAATGAAGACACAATATGTTATTTACAGTCGGCCCATCGACGTGTGATCAGGTCTGCGAACTTCCACTGATCCTGGACGAAGCCGACTGTCAGTGCATAGGTATCAGTATGCTATACCACAACCACAACATGCAGCAACAGGGATAAGTGTCAATATACTGTAGTAGAACCACCACATACAGCCACAGGGATAAGTGTCAATATACTGTAGTAGAACCACCACATACAGCCACGGGGATAGGTGTCAATATACTGTAGTTGAACCACCACAAACAGCCACGGGGATAAGTGTCAATATACTGTAGTAGAACCACCACAAACAGCCACAGGGATAAGTGTCAATATACTGTAGTAGAACCACAGCATACAGCCGCAGGGATAAGTGTCAATATACTGTAGTAGAACCACAACATAAAGCCACAGGAATAAGTCACTGTGTCAATATACTGCAGTAGAACAACCATATACAGCCACAGGGATAAGTGTCAATATACTGTAGTAGAACCACAACATAAAGTCACAGGAATAAGTCACTGTGTCAATATACTGTAGTAGAACCACCATATACAGCCACAGGGATAAGTGTCAATATACTGTAGTTGAACCACTATATACAGTCACAGGGATAAGTATCAATATACTGTAGTAGAACCACCATATACAGCCACAGGGATAAGTGTCAATATACTGTAGTAGAACCAGAGTATACAGCCACAGGAATAAGTGTCAATATACTGTAGTAGAACCACTATATACAGTCACAGGGATAAGTGTCAATATACTGCAGTAGAACCACCATAAACAGCCACAGGTGTAAGTGTCAATATACTGTAGTAGAACCATCGTATGCAGCCGCAGGGATAAGTGTCAATATACTGCAGTAGAACCACCATAAACAGCCAAAAGTGTAAGTGTCAATATACTGTAGTAGAACCACCATAAACAGCCACAAGGATAAGTGTCAATATACTGTAGTAGAACCACCATAAACAGCCACAGGTGTAAGTGTCAATATACTGTAGTAGAACCACCATAAACAGCCACAGGGATAAGTGTCAATATACTGCAGTAGAACCACCATAAACAGCCAAAGGTGTAAGTGTCAATATACTGTAGTAGAACCACCATAAACAGCCACAGGGATAAGTGTCAATATACTGCAATAGAACCACCATAAACAGCCACAAGGATAAGTGTCAATATACTGCAGTAGAACCACCATAAACAGCCACAGGGATAAGTGTCAATATACTGTAGTAGAACCACCATAAACAGCCACAAGGATAAGTGTCAATATACTGCAGTAGAACCACCATAAACAGCCAAAGGTGTAAGTGTCAATATACTGTAGTAGAACCACTATATACAGCCATAGGTGTAAGTATATATCAATATACTGTAGTAGAACCACCATAAACAGCCACAGGGATAAGTGTCAATATACTGCAATAGAACCACCATATACAGCCACAGGGATAAGTGTCAATATACTGTAGTAGAACCTACATAAACAGCCACAGGTGTAAGTGTCAATATACTGTAGTTGAACCACCATAAACAGCCACAGGGATAAGTGTCAATATACTGCAATAGAACCACCATATACAGCCACAGGGATAAGTGTCAATATACTGTAGTAGAACCTACATAAACAGCCACAGGTGTAAGTGTCAATATACTGTAGTTGAACCACCATAAACAGCCACAGGGATAAGTGTCAATATACTGTAGTAGGACCACTATATACAGTCACAGGGATAAGTGTCAATATACTGCAATAGAACCACCATATACAGCCACAGGGATAAGTGTCAATATACTGTAGTTGAACCACCACAAACAGCAACCATATACAGTCACAGGGATAAGTATCAAATTACAGTAGTAGAACCACCATATACAACCGCAGGAATAAGTGTCAATGTACTGTAGTAGAACCACCTTATACAGCCACAGGGATAAGTGTCAATATACTGTAGTAGAACCAATATATAGGGTCACAGGGATAAGTGTCAATATACTGCAGTAGAACCACCATAAACAGCCATAGTGTTTAGACTCAATATTCCCATCTTCCCGAGGCAAGAGAGGCAACTGACTATACTGGACTGGAAGTCAGTTAACTCTCTTGCCTCGGAAAGAAGTAATATTCTGTGCAAGCACACAACTTGGCATGACACTGCTGCAATGACGTTGTTATATATAACATCTCCTTCGTCGAACTTTGTGTATCGTCAGCTGCTCTGTCGAAGATAGGGCACGTTACCGCAACCTCAGCAATGTAGGGTTTCATATTTACTTCCGGAATGTCATTTGACGCTTTTGCGAAAGACATGAAAAAGGAACAGGTCGTTGAAAGATGTTAGGAACAACTACATCAGGCAATATGCTGAGGTTACTGTACGGAAGGTAACGTTATAAGTTCTCACTTGACAAAACAATGTGTTATCCAATTTCAGAAAACCCAATTTGCACGTTCATTAGGAGCAACAACCTATGTGGTCTGGCGTACGGTCAGGCGTGCAAGTGTGCCTGACTCGGACACAGCTGGACGTGAGGAGTCTTGTTGATGTACATCTCGCTGTGAAGCAATAAATAACAACCACCCATCCAAACCTCGTTACTCTTTTGTGTGTGGTTACATAAGTGAATGTGTACAGGGCTATAAGGTACCTCGTGACTCCTGGTAGTGTGTACAGTGACAGTAGTTACCTCGTGACTCCTGCTAGTCTGTACAGTGACAGTAGTTACCTCGTGACTCCTGCTAGTGTGTACAGTGACAGTAGTTACCTCGTGACTCCTGCCAGCGCGTACAGTGACAGAAGTTACCTCGTGACTCCTGCTAGTGTGTACAGTGACAGAAGTTACCTCGTGACTCCTGCTAGTGTGTACAGTGACAGAAGTTACCTCGTGACTCCTGCTAGTGTGTACAGTGACAGTAGTTACCTCGTGTCTCCTGCTAGTGTGTACAGTGACAGAAGTTACCTCGTGACTCCTGCTAGTGTGTACAGTGACAGTAGTTACCTCGTGACTCCTGCTAGTGTGTACAGTGACAGTAGTTACCTCGTGACTCCTGCCAGTGCGTACAGTGACAGAAGTTACCTCGTGACTCCTGCCAGTGCGTACAGTGACAGAAGTTACCTCGTGACTCCTGCTAGTGTGTACAGTGACAGTAGTTACCTCGTGACTCCTGCCAGTGCGTACAGTGACAGAAGTTACCTCGTGACTCCTGCTAGTGTGTACAGTGACAGTAGTTACCTCGTGACTCCTGCTAGTGTGTACCCATCTTCGCGAGGCTAAGAGAGTTAAATGACTATAAAAATCAAGTTTCCACCCTTTCCTAACTAGGCTGGTATAATGGATTTACAATTTGGATAGTGGATAGTCCAATCCAAATCGAGTAACGAAATCGACATCTGGTTCTCAAACATCAGCGCAGATTTCGGACGATTGCAGAATTTGCACACCGCGTGTGTACCGTAAACTAGGCATTGACAAAAAATTTCCAATCTTTTCATGTTTGTAATCAAGATGCGCAACTGGTGTGATGCTTTGACGAGGCAAGACCCGTTTTACTACAGTAAATACCATGATTATCGAGCAGATCGTTTAACTGGGCGGTGCCATTTTGTTTGAAGCAAACGCAAGTAATGTGAGAGGTCGAAATTGATTTATAAGTAGGAGGGACATAGAAGGAATGTAACTCGTAATAGCCACTGGTGGCGCTTTGATCAAGTCGCTGAATTCCAGCCTAGCTCGGTAAGGTTGGAAACTGGACTTTTATATTCAGTTAACTCCCTTGCTTCGGGAAGATGGTAGTTACCTCGTGACGATTCAGTATTCACTCACTCACCATCTTGGACACCCCATCTCTGGTATACATGGCAGATTGGCCTCCTCCTCAAACCCTATACCTATCCACGTTACCGAATTACTCGACAAATTTGACGAAACATAGCCTGATATAGCGGATTAGAAAAAGAAAATTAGGGATGATTCTAAAATCCTTAACAAGCCACCACGAAGTTTACAGGTTAGGCTTGCTGTAGAATGTCGTATTGGAAGAATGAAACAGGTATGCAGGTATGAAAAGGTCGCTGATGCAGGTGAGACGTATTCACGCAGCGCGGACTTCTCTGGGTTTGTTTGCCGCAACTCGATGTTCCTGTTCAGAAACATGATGTACCCGCAATTCACGTCTTGGCCTGTTTTGTTACCCGACCTGTACGGTGGGGCGCGATGTAACGCGTGCTGATGCACGAACACGCCCATTGCGTGTCCCCCCAGTGGCCAATGAGATTATGATGGTGATGGTGTCTTCCGACACATATACGGGCTATGTAAATTAATGGGTGAGTGAGTGTTGATGCACAAACACAGCCCATGACATGTCATACTCAATGGGCAATGTGATAATAACGTTGACATGTGAAATTTACTTTCGACACATATACAGGCTTATGTAGTCCAAATGAGTGTTGATGTAACATCGCTTTGAATGGTAATACAGTTGTTATGTCGCTTTGTCGTCCCGGGATCCGGGTTCAAATCGTGAATTCGTACTGAACTGACACTTAGCTGACACTCGTCATACTCAAAGAACCCCGGGGGATAAGATGTAATTCTATGCTTTTTGATTGTTTTTTTTTTTTATAGTTTTTTTTACGCCGCCCTAAAAATTATTCCAGCTATATGACGGCGGTCTGTAAAGTAATCATGTCTGGACCAGACAAACCCTTGATGTGTGAACGCCCTAATGGGAAAATATCAGTATCGGTATGCGCCGTAATTAAATGAATATCATATACTTGTCATGAACTGATAACGCACATAGTAAATATGCATAGGTGATGGCAAACATTAATAACCGCATCCAAATATTTGTCTTCGGCGTGAATCACGTCCAAATGTTGAAGACGTCACGCCCACCTGTATGCTGCCTGGAGAGTATATTATTACACACAGTGTGTGTACACATCCGTACGTCTGTGATGAATGAGACGTAGAAATATAACTACAAATTACGTGATGAAAATATGAACTATGACTCCTGTGAATTTATTTATTATATTGGTAACGTAACGCATTATTTACAGAGAGCACTTCAAAGTGACCAAGCGTGTCTTTAGCCTTTTGTAGTCTCTACTTTTTATTTCCTAAACTTTGAACAAAATGGGTTCACACTGTGAAAAGCAGCCATTTGCTTGCTGAAATCCAAAAGGAAAAGCTTAGCACCATAAGCAGGTAAGGAATACATCCTTGTCACTGCGTTAATCCTTGTAACAGTTGCACTGTATGAGCACGAGTGGCTCAACGGTCTCAGGTGTCGCAATTCGCTGGGTTAGAATCCGATATTCGGCTCACTCTGATCCTTACTTTGTCCTAGGTATACGTTCTGCGCCAGACAGACTTTCCTCCCGCTGACACTCCGTAATACAACCGATATAGTGCTTAACGCGGCGTTAAACCCATTAGCCTCTTAAATGAAATGTTTTGACCAATTTTATAATTCAAATGGCTCTAATCAAGGCATACAAATATACAATGATATGCTTGTCCAAAACAAACCTAACCACTTTCAGTGGTGTAACAAATCATAAATAGCTGAAATAAAACTAATCACCTTTTGAAAATTGAGAGGAAACTGAAAGGTTTCTTCTCCTATGCATGAGGCAAAGTAGCAGTCGACATGAAAAACAGGCAACAGATCAGTTGAAAACAAATTGTAGGCTTGACTTGCACCATATTCTTTCTGTTGTCATTCGTGTCACATTGTTATCTGTCACGTTCATTGATCCAAGGGACTTCGTTTCTACCTGCAACCCTGACAATGTCAAATGCGGAGAGACGTGGGCTGACGGAGCGTGTCATTGGTGTTACACATGTACTAGGCAAACTATTCATTTATATTTTTTACATGTATATTTTTCAAAATGAGAATGATTTTGTAATTAAGGAGATTGTGTGTAATAAGAAGTGAACTTTAAAGTGGCATATATTTCTTGTCATTTGAGTAACGGTTCTGGGCCCACTTGCACAAAACGATCTTAGCGCTAAGACTATTGTAAGCCTATGTTAAAGTATGGGAGTTAAGATCATCTTAGCACTAAGATCGCTATGTGCAAGTGGGCCCTGGTCAATGGGGTAACACTGATAGCATTAGTGTAACTCATACTAATTTATACATTCTAATTTTCAGTGTGAGTGAGTTAAAACCTCGCGTCGGCATTATTCCAGCCATATAGCTTATGACTAATTTTCAGTATTGTCCCTTTTAAACACATCTGTACATAGCATGACCTATTCAAGAATAATTATAATCAGAAAAATGAATGTAAACGGTAGGGACTACATGAACCTTGTTATTTGAAATATGTATCGAGCAGAAAAATGCTTTTTCTCAAAACAATATTTTATTTCACAAATACATTGCTGTAGTAGACATGGCAACCCAAAACTGCTCGCCTATGCATAACAGCTCCAAATAGCTGTATCAGTCAACATAGAAATAACAGTTACATTGTGGAAAATTAATTAAATGACAATATCAAAAGTGTAACGCCACTGACGGCTTTTGGTATATTTAAATATAAAAAACTGTAGATTTCTAAAAATATTTCATTGATTTCCTGTTTGATTAATCTCTGCACGAGATACACAATGATATTACCTTATGTGTGATCATGAAGTGTTAACAGAATTCGGCTATTGTAGTTTGGTCAAATGGTGTCATGATAAACAGGACCAGTTTGAGAATGACCCATATAAGCCAACAAGCATGGACCATAATCACAGCGAACGCGGGCTTCATTGATAATAGCATCCTGGCACGCATCTCTATGGCGCCTCACACGACTCATCCTTCCGTGCCCGCGCTACTCTTTAACACTACCGTATATGTTTGTATTTCAAATTTGATGAAGACATTCCATTAGGTACTTTATGAAATAGTGCTCTACATGTCCGGACGGTCGGGTAGCCTAGTGGTTAAAGCGTTCGATCGTCACGCCGAAGATCCGGGTTCGATTCCCGACATGGGTACAATATGTGAAGCCCATTTCTGGTGTCCCCCGCCGTGATATTGCTGGAAAGTTGCTAAAAGCGGCGTAAAACCATACTCACTCACTCACTCACTCACTCACTCATATGTCGGTAGTCTTGTCATACAGACAAATAGAGATGTGGACATAATTGTAAGGTCATGAGGGTTTTCAGTTAAATATAATTATTGCATTTCTACATTACTGTATGGTGCCTTAAATTGCCAACGTGTATTAGATAATGAATTCGTTATCACATATAAAAACAGCAACATAGTGTTAACTTCATACGTTATCCGTCGTTCTGTCTTATAAAAGAGGATTGGATATAAAACGACAGTCAGTGAGATCACATTATGAATCTGACATCCATAAAGAATATTTGTGTAAATTAATAAAAAAATAAATCGATATAAGACAAGTTATCCTTCTATTATTATGTTGACTAGCAACTGTAAACTTAACTACAACCATGCAGGTAGTGACCATCCTTAAGACACCTGTACACTGGGATGGACATAAGGCCATCTCCGGTATTTGTCCAACAGCTGACCATGTGGCCTCACACCTGTTTGTGTCTTCCTTCAACACTACATAGACTCGTCAAGCTAACGGGGCCTCATCCTTAGAACACAGAAGATGTGGCGGTGCGGTCTACTCGTTGTCTTGGTCACCGCGGTTTCAGGCGCAGCAGGTGAGGGTAAGCCTATTCTTGACTTGGACCCTATTTCGTTCAACGTGGAATAAATTTGAAAGTATGACAGTCATTGTTAATATTCTGTTAATGCGTTTTTGTTTCTAAAAACATAATGTAAAGTGTTGCCGGCATCGTCGAGGGTCACTACTTAAATCATGGTAGAGAGTACCTGTGTTATCATTAACATTATTGTTATCCGTGCGTAGAATCTGTGTCGGTAAAACTGGTCATGTACTAGCTATAGTATTCTATGTAAATCTGGTAATATAATATTATTCTATGTAAAACTGGTCATGTATTCTATGTAAAACTGGTCATGTATTCTATGTAAAACTGATAATATACTAGTATTCTATGTAAACCTGGTAAGGTATTCGATGTAAAACTGGTCATGTACTAGTATTCTATGTAAATCTGGTAATATATTCTATGTAAAACTGGAAATGTATTCTATTTAAAACTTGAAATGTATTCTATTTAACCCTAGAGATGTATTCTATGTAAAACTGGTAGTTTATTCTATTAAAACTGGTGATGTATTCTTTTTTCTAATCTATCGACTACAGAATGGCCAAATAATATTTTTGTTCAATTACCATATTTGATTAGTTCGACCATTTTCTAAATTAAATGTCTGAACCATCTGCTGAAGAGTAAGCGCTTATGATTACTGCTATCGTTGACGTTGTCCCGTTGTAATCTTTATAACTTTGTCATTGCTTGAACACGGCTAAAGAAATATCCATACCATTTGCATTCTGGGTCACTGGATTTCGGGAAAATGCGATTTCCCTTGTATGTTACACACGTAACTTATGCATATCATATATATGTGAGTGATAACATCGGATGCTATTCTAAACTGAAATCCCCGCGAGGACAGTTGAAATGATATCTGCGAGAGTTATGTTATAACTTGTAGTAGCCTGGTATACATACAGGTAAGCGTCAGGGTGAGGTTTAAACGTTCAAATCTATCCGACGTGATTCTATTTGAAGATACCTTTAAATGGATAATTCATTAATTTTGCATTAATTTAATTCCAACGCTGTGACGAAATTACCATCAAAGTATCAAACTACCAGGTGATTAATGTTTGTAATTAAAGAAATGCCTTGTTCTATTTTCTTAGCTCTGTGATGTGCAGACCGCCTCCGTGGTCTGGTGGTAGAGTGTCCGCCCGGAGAGCGGAAGGTCCGGGGTTCGATCCCCGGCCGCGTCATACCAAAAGACGTTAAAAGATGGTACTTGTTGTTACCCTGTCTGGCACTCGGCATCAAGGGGCTAAAACAAGGACTGGTCGGCTCGGAGTCAGTATACTGTGTCTGAGTGGGATATTCATGTTAAACTGCGGCATGGTATCTCAGTGAGCTAGCACTATAAATCGGCATCAGTCCGGACTAGTACAAGCAGCCACACGAACACACACACGTACATGCACGTCGCTATATAAGTGCAATAATCTTGGAACCCCATTTCACCTCATCTCACCTGTGATGTGCTTTAACAGTTGCGATGAGGCAGGTGGATCAATCGTATCGGCAGCAGTTGTTATGTCGCTTAGTCGTCCCGGGATCCGCTAATCCCGGGTTCAAATAGTGGATGCGTACTGAATTGACACTAACAATGTAGTTGACACTCATCATACTCGAAGAACCCCGGAGTATAGATGTAATTCTATCCTTTTTGTTTGTTTGTTGTGTAACGCCGCACTCAGCAACATTCCATCTATATGACGGCGGTCAGTAAATAATAGAGTCTGGACCAGGCAATCCAGTGATTGATATCATGAGCATCGATCCACGCAATTGGGATCGATGACATGCTTGAACCAAGTAAGCAAACCTGACCACCCGATCCCGTTAGTCGCCTCTTACGACAAGCACAGTCGCCTTTTACGGCAAGCATGGGTTGATGAAGACCTATTCTACCCCAGGTCCTCACGGGTCTAATTCTATGCAACCGCTTTTATATAATGTGTGTCTCATGGCCAACAAGTATAATGACAAGTACAAGCATATCCAAGTTCTGCTCCTACTGTTGAACGATTTCTGTCTTTCATTTTAAGCTAATTCTTTATTTATTTGCATGATTCCAGGTTGTGATAAGGTATGTCAGAATGGCGGAACCCTTCGCGAAGATGTTTGTGAGTGCACGTGTCTTCGAGAAAACAAAGGAGAGTTGTGTGAAGAAACACGTAAGTTGGACCATATTTAAAAAAATGTATTCATGGAGCAATGTAGATTCATTTACATTCGACACAGCTATGTTGAAATGGTTATTGTAAAATTAGTCGATCCAAAACAATATACATCCGTGCCTGATAGAAAATATGTTTGACAAATAAGGAATCTCAGCCACATGCACTTGTCATCGTGTTTTTTTGTTGCTGAACACCACACTCAGCAATATCCCAGCTATATGCCGGCAGTCTGTAAATAATAGAGTCTTGACAGGATAATCCAGTGATTAGCATCATGAGCATCGATCTAAGTAACTGAGATACGATGACATGCATCAATCAAGTAAGCAAGCCGTTATCGCCCCTTACGACAAGCATCATCTTCCCCAGGCAAGGGAGATGGCTGTCGATAAAAGTCCAGTTTCCATCCTTACCGAACGAGGCAGGAATATCCGGCTCGATCGTAGCGCCTGCAGTGGCTATTAAGAGTTATGCCCCTTCTATTGCCCTCCAACTGACCAATCAGATTCCACCTATGGTATCACTTGCATTTGCTTCAAACAAAATGTCGACGCCCTGCTAAGACGATCTGATGGATGATGACAGGTCTTACCTCGCGAAGTGCATCAAATCACTTGAGCACCTTGATTAAAAACATGAAAATATTTGCAAAATATCTGTCGACACATTTGACGGTACACGTGCGTTACAAAACCTGAAATCGACGGAAATCTGCACTTTGAAATCCATGTTGATTGCGAACCGGATATCTAGTTCGTCACGCGATTTGATTGGACTATACATAGACTCGTTAGTTCAGCCAAAATGTGACTCCAGAATTCTAGCCCAGTCCGGCAAGGGTGGAAACTGGACTTTTATAGTCAGTTAACTCCCTTGCCTCGGGAAGATGGAAAAGCATGGGTGTGTTGAAGACGGATACCTGACATCATGACACAAGTAAAATACGACAAGACACTTTACACGTTGTGCAATGTTCTCTTCAACATCTTCCTTTATTATTTGAAAGCATGTGTTTTGTCTATTAAATAATAAATATACCTCTTTGTCATGACCCCTATGCTGTGTTGCTAGTGTGTGGACCGCCCTGTGAGAATGGAGGAACGATGGACATGGTCACGTGCACCTGTTCCTGCCCTGATGGATGGTATGGGGCTCTCTGTGCAGGTAACTTAACTCGCCTCGTTTGTCAATCAGACAAAAACTGAAGTTATTTGGGATCTAGGGTGGCAATTGTTTCCGAGTCGTTTCTGCTGTTTGGTCAGATTACGGGGGAGATGTGTTCACAGACGATGTATCATCGTAACCGACGTTGTTGACCCAATAACACGCCAGGGACACATTTCTTCTCTTATTTAACATCAAAATCAAGTACTTAACAGTTTATATTTATACAGCGCAAACCCCCACTGTTCAATTTCAGGAAACTCTACTATTTTTGGAGCAATATATTAAATGCTCAGTAGAAGAAATTATATTTGTACAATGAAAACTTAGTTTACTATTTTAGCAAACCTTCCATCAGCATAGTACATTGTATTTTTACAATGTTAACACCACTGATCTATACACGTCGCATTAACAGACCACCATCCTAACCAAAGCTTGATAACCTTCAGATGAATGTACGATCACCTGCGAGAACTTCGGCAGACGTAACGCTGCCTGTGGGTGCGACTGTCCCCCCGGCTTCACGGGGGACCGCTGCCAGACACGTGAGTAGGGCCTATCCTGTTCTCCCCATATTTAGTTTATATTGTAAGATATACGTGAGTAGGACCTAGTCTAGGTCACCCTACAGTTACGTTAATATTCATTTGTAAGATATACGTGAGTAGGACCTAGTCTAGGTCACCCAACAGTTACGTTAATATTGTAAGATATACGTGAGTAGGACCTAGGCTAGGTCACCCTACAGTTACGTTAATATTGTAAGATATACGTGAGTAGGACCTAGCCTAGGTCACCCTACAGTTACGTTAATATTGTAAGATATACGTGAGTACGACCTAGTCTAGATCACCCTACAGTTACGTTAATACTGTAAGATATACGTGAGTAGGACCTAGCCTTGGTCATCCTAGAGTTACGTTAATATTCATTTGTAAGATATACGTGAGAAGGACCTAGTCTAGGTCACCCAACAGTTACGTTAATATTGTAAGATATACGTGAGTAGGACCTAGGCTAGGTCACCCTACAGTTACGTTAATATTGTAAGATATACGTGAGAAGGACCTAGTCTAGGTCACCCTACAGTTACGTTAATATTGTAAGATACACGTGAGAAGGACCTAGTCTAGGTCACCCTACAGTTACGTTTATATTGTAAGATACACGTGAGAAGGACCTAGTCTAGATCACCCTACAGTTACGTTAATATTGTAAGATACACGTGAGAAGGACCTAGTCTAGGTCACCCTACAGTTACGTTAATATTGTAAGATATACGTGAGTAGGACCTAGTCTAGGTCACCCTACAGTTACGTTAATATTGTAAGATACACGTGAGAAGGACCTAGTCTAGGTCACCCTACAGTTACGTTAATATTGTAAGATATACGTGAGAAGGACCTAGTCTAGGTCACCCTACAGTTACGTTAATATTGTAAGATACACGTGAGAAGGACCTAGTCTAGGTCACCCTACAGTTACGTTTATATTGTAAGATACACGTGAGAAGGACCTAGTCTAGATCACCCTACAGTTACGTTGATATTGTAAGATACACGTGAGAAGGACCTAGTCTAGATCACCCTACAGTTACGTTAATATTGTAAGATACACGTGAGAAGGACCTTGTCTAGGTCACCCTACAGTTACGTTAATATTGTAAGATATACGTGAGTAGGACCTAGTCTAGGTCACCCTACAGTTACGTTAATATTGTAAGATACACGTGAGAAGGACCTAGTCTAGGTCACCCTAGAGTTACGTTAATATTGTAAGATACACGAAAGGACCTAGCCTAGGTCACCCTAGAGTTACGTTAATATTGTAGGATACACGTGAGAAGGACCTAGCCTAGGTCACCCTACAGTTACGTTAATATTGTAAGATACACGTGAGAAGGACCTAACTACTATCAGATACGCAATATTCGTAATTCTAAACTTCAACGTCACCCCCTATATGCGGACACTTTTCTACCACCCGTTTGTCACACAAATATGTAGTCTCAACAGAAGCGACCTGTTCGTCCTATACTTACGGAGGATTAGATCCATTTTACACAATTCCTATAAAGGTGATTCTGAGGAAATGTTCTGAAAAATATTCCAAAATCCTCCAACGGGACGAGATTCGGACTAGCATTCCTAGCTAAGACCTCATTAGTCAGCTGCAGTAAACTACGGTTATAACGAGCTCAAAGGGACAACAAATATCAGTTCGTTATAGCCGTAATTCGTTATAGTTATAAATAGTGTATATAAACTCATGGGCAAAAGAAAGTAAACACTTTTAAACTGAATTTTTCCCCAAAACTATCAGAGTGAGCAAAATGGTATAAGGCTAAAACAGTTGCCCAAGAACTGCAATATCAATCTCCAATATGCACCGCGTTGGCCGTAAGGATGCACGTGCAGTGGCCAAAAGTCACCAAACAGCTTTTCCAGATATTCGTTATATTGCACGTGCTGAATTTGTAACAAAAGGCAATGAACCGTTGCTATGACATCACATGTTATATAAAAACACCAAATATATGGTTAACTGCGGAACAAAGAGAGAGAGCCATAGGTATGGATCAGATGGGAGCCAACCACACCCAGATTGAAAGAAACCGAAACTGTACACGGGAAACGGTCGTCAGAGTGTTTCAACGCTTCAGACAGACGCGCAGGACACAAGACAGGCCAAGATCGGGCAGACCACGAATGACAACGCAACAGGGCTCGGCACTTGCGCACGTACCATCTGCGCAACAGGTTCGTCACGGCGACGGAACGGCAGCAACGGCGTTAGGACACGGTATCATTCGACGCACGGTGCTACGACGTCTGCGTGACGCAGGTATTAGAGCTCGCCGTCCCTTCCATGGAATGGCATTGACCCGGGAACATCGACGTCGAAAGCTGCAATGGGCCAGGACAGTATGACCATGGCATGTCCGCAATTGACAGATAGTGCTGCTGACGAAAGCAGCTTTCAGCTGTTTCACAATGATGGTCGAGCTCGAACCTGGAACAATTGGTGCCAGGCTGCATTCAAGAGGTTCATCCCTATGGTGGAGGTGGTGTAATGGTTTGGGGTGGAATTTGTGGCAGACTTGTCATCATCCGTGGCAACCCCAACGACCAGAGATACAGAGATGATGTTCTGCAACCCGTGGTGCTTCCATTCCTTCGCCAACAGCAACAGGGAACACTCCTGCAGCATGACAACGCTAGACCACACACTGCAGTGCTCGTCCAGGACTTCTTAAATAAGAACAACATCAACGTTCCTCCGTGGCCAGCATTCTCACCTGACTTGAACCCAACTGAACATTTGTGAGATCATCTGGAGCGTCAGATTCGAAGACGTCCACACCCACCAGCAAACCAGCAACAGCTTGCCGACGCTTTAGGAACTGAATGGAATCGGATTCCCGATTACGTCATCAGGCGGCTGACATGAACGAGGCGACGAGTCTTGGCGTACATTGGTGCTCATTGTGGTCATACTCGTTACTGAGCGTACCAGGTATCCGTTAAAGACCACAAACCTATCAAGACAGTACCTGGTTGATCCTGATCATTCCTGTGATCTGTGATCTGCCTACCCCCACGTTCACGTAAACGTCATTTACACGTCACCTGTTTTGAGTTTCGCTCTGAAATTGTGCATGGACTATCGCATGTGACCCTATTAGCGAATACACCATCATTGAGTAACAATCTCTTGTTTGTTTTCATTTTATTGACCCGTCAAACATAGGTGTATACTTTCTTTTGCCAACTAGTTTATTTACAGCAAAAGGACGGGGACCAAAAACAGTTCGCTATATCAGTCAGTTCGTTATAAGCGTGTTTGTTATAAACGTAGTTTACTGTACTTCCAATGTTATAATGTATATCAATGTAGTAGTTAATGAATGTCTCAGCATATGTCGAGTGGAAGGTTATCACGTTGAGAATGAGAATCACGTTGAGAATTATATGCGAATGATAACAGTCGCTGCAGATATGCACGTTGCTACTGCTCACAATAAAACTTTGGCTCGTTCAACCTCAGGTGCACAGACATGTACACAAGAAGGCTTCAACTGGTACTTCTATTATGCATATATGTTGATGATGTCAATGTCAAATGTACTGTAGCTCCACCGTGCGGCATCCAGTGTGAGCACGGAGGGTTGAGGGTGGATGACAACTGTTCGTGTACTTGCCCCGACACCTGGACGGGCCATCAGTGTGGTAAGTGAGGTCACGCTAGAAGGCTGTGGTACGCGGTTGATCTACTGCTGAACAAACTTTAGAAATATCGGTACGTGTGTTCGATTTTTAAAATTTGTCAACCAAGGTTACCCCATGTCTGGCAATCAAGGATGAGTAAATTCAGCCTAAGTAAACCTGTGTTAGTACGACAGTATTCGACATATAACACATAAGATGAAACCTTAGATGACAGCAGCCATGAGTTTCTATAACAAAACTAGGAGAATGTAACGCGTCTTTCTTTGCTCGGCAAGGCTATCATTGCACCATTTCTATTTAATCAATGTTAAACGTTTAAACAAAAGAACTTTCAAAATATGCATGAATCTAACCTCAGCACAATTGTAGTATTTCCCTAACAAATTATTCCATGCTAACCGCATGACTATATCCAAGTTAAAGTCTTGTTCATGTTAAAGTGTATGTCTGTATTACGGTTATTCAATGGCCAGACTACTGGAATGCACTGAAACGTTGTAATTATCACAGGTTCTTACATTTGGGCTAACTAAATTAAAATAGTGTCAATAATATGGATACTATTATATAGATTTGTAGTACAAAATAGATGGCAACCAGAAGTCAGCGTGTTATTCGTCATTCATTCATCATCGTCATCAGTTATAGTTTGACGAAAGACGAATTATTTCGACATTCGTCATTCAACTTACACGATTACAATACAATAGAATAACGAATGACAAATGACGAAGAAACTCTCCTTTCGATTTTATTTTAATATTGAAATTTGAATGACGAATGACGAAGCAACTCTACTTTCGATTTTATTTTAATATCGGAAGTTTAATGACAAATGGCGAAGAAACTCTCCTTTTGATTATATTTTGATATTGGAAGTTGAATGACGAATGACGAAGCAACTCTACTTTCGATTTTATTTTAATATTGGAAGTTTAATTACAAATGGCGAAGAAACTCTCCTTTCGATTATATTTTGATATTGGAAGTTGAATGACGAATAATTTCTACTAAGGAATAGAATACCTAAACAGAACTGATTACAAAACATAAAAATGACACAGTTTTCGGGGTTTCAAAAAAATAATTCCGCAAATTAATGGAGTCATCCTGTTTAGTTTTCTGCCATGTTACACGTAAGGTTGATGCCACTGTGTCAGAACTGACCAGCTTCCATGTCTGCCCACAAAGACCATGCAACATGTCTATTTCAGAGATCTGTAGCCGTCAGTGTGGGGCGAATGGTTTCCTGCTGGACGCGCTCTGTCTCTGCAGCTGCAGGGACGGCTTCACTGGAGATTCCTGCGGTGAGCATCAGACCGATCTGCGTGAAGACTGACCATTTAGTAGTTTTACTTTTATGCTTTTACCTTTACATATATTCCAGAATCCGCTGGAAAGTATAATTTAAATCTGGAAGTGAATAGGTGTTGTTATTCACCCTGAAATGTTGTATTTGAAGGAGTAACAAAGTTGTATGTTGTATCTCTCACATTTATTTCAAGGACATCCAGCAATTTCTGATTATAAAACTCAAGGGCCATGTGTATATACTTGTATGTGCGATCGTGCGTGCGTGCGTGCGTGCATGCGTGTATACATCCCCTCCCTCCCGAATATTAAAATACCTTAGTTTCATGTGACTTCTTCACTGTAGGTTGTAATCCTTTTGCTGTAGATCCATTCATAAGCATTCATTCTCATATGAAAAGCTAACTTGTCATCACTATTTTGGTGGTTGTCTGTCAGAAGTTTCGTACTTACTCAACGTTTATGTATATTGTTTCTTCAGTTCAGGGTTTATCCGCAAATAATTGTCAAGCATGTTTTTGTTGACATTTATCCGACTTTGCTAATCAATGCCTTCAATGCCAGGTGATTGAACTACCTATCGGGGGAATATACGTGTGTAGTATTTATACAGCCTTTGGGTAATCTATGTATCCTGTGTGCTTTCAGAAATCCCGCCCCCTTGTGATCTGACCTGCACCTCCCCACAGACCCTGGACAACGCAACGTGCACCTGTACTACCCCAGGTAACAACACACATAGGGTGACTACATGACCACTACATGACCACTACGTGACCACCACATGACATTACATGACCACTACATAACACTACATGACCACTACATAACCACTACATGACCACCACATAACCGCGACGTGACCACCGCATAACACTACACGACCACTACGTGACGACCACATGATACGACATGACCACTACATAACACTACATGACCACTACATAACCACTACGTGACGACCACATGACATTACTTGACCACTACATAACCACTATATGACCACCACATGACCACTACATAACCACTACATGACACTACATGACCACTACGTGACCACCACATGACACGATATGACCACCACATGACACGACATGACCACTACATAACCACTACATGACCAGCACATGACCACTACATAACCACTACATGACCACCACATTACCACTACATAACCACTACATGACCACTACATAACCACTACATGGCCACCATATAACCGCTACATGACCACAACATAACCGCTACATGACCATCACTTAACCGCTTCATGACCATCACATAACCGCTACATGACCATTACATGACCACCACATAACTGCTACATGACCATCACATAACACTACATAACCACTACGTGACGACCACATGACATTACATGACCACCACATAACCGCTACATGACCATTACATGACCACTACATGACACTACATGACCACTACATGACCACTACATAACCCGTTCGTGACGACCACATGACATTACATGACCACTACATAACCACTACATGACCAACACATGACCACTACATAACCACTACATGACCACCACATTACCACTACATAACCACTACATGAACACTACATAACCACTACATGGCCACCATATAACCGCTACATGACCACTACATAACCGCTACATGACCATCACATAACCGCTACATGACCATCACATAACCGCTACATTACCATTACATGACCATCTCATAACCGCTACATGACCATCACATAACACTACATAACCAATACGTGACGACCACATGACATTACATGACCACTACATAACCACTACGTAACGACCACATGACATTACATGACCACTACATAACCACTACGTGACGACCACATGACATTACATGACCACTACGTAACACTACATGACCACTTCATGACCACCACATTACCGCTACTTGACCACTACATGACCACTGCATAACACTACATGACCACTACATAACCACTACATGACCATCACATAACCGCTACATGACCATCACATAACCGCTACATGACCATTACATGACCATCTCATAACCGCTACATGACCATCACATAACACTACATAACCAATACGTGACGACAACATGACATTACATGACCACTACATAACCACTACGTAACGACCACATGACATTACATGACCACAACATAAAACTACATGACCACTACATGACCACAACATGACCACTCCATGACCACCACATAACACTACATGACCACTACATGACCACCACATAACACTACATGACCACTACATGACCACCACATAACACTACATGACCACTACATGAACACCACATAACAGTACAGGACCACTGCATGACCACTACATAACACTACATCACCATCACATAACACTACATGACCTCAACATGACCACCACATAACACTACATGACCATCACATAACACTATATGACTTCTACATAACCGCTACATGACCATCACATAACCGCTACATGACCATCACATAACCGCTACATTACCATTACATGACCATCTCATAACCGCTACATGACCATCACATAACACTACATAACCAATACGTGACGACCACATGACATTACATGACCACTACATAACCACTACGTAACGACCACATGACATTACATGACCACTACATAACCACTACGTGACGACCACATGACATTACATGACCACTACGTAACACTACATGACCACTTCATGACCACCACATTACCGCTACTTGACCACTACATGACCACTGCATAACACTACATGACCACTACATAACCACTACATGACCATCACATAACCGCTACATGACCATCACATAACCGCTACATGACCATTACATGACCATCTCATAACCGCTACATGACCATCACATAACACTACATAACCAATACGTGACGACAACATGACATTACATGACCACTACATAACCACTACGTAACGACCACATGACATTACATGACCACAACATAAAACTACATGACCACTACATGACCACAACATGACCACTCCATGACCACCACATAACACTACATGACCACTACATGACCACCACATAACACTACATGACCACTACATGAACACCACATAACAGTACAGGACCACTGCATGACCACTACATAACACTACATCACCATCACATAACACTACATGACCTCAACATGACCACCACATAACACTACATGACCATCACATAACACTACATAACCCCTACATGACCACCACATAACACTACATGACCATCAAATTTCACTACATAACCCCTACATAGCCTTCACATGACACTACATGACCATCAAATGTTACTACATAACCCCTACATGGCCACCACATAACACTACATGACCATCAAATTTCACTACATAATCCCTACATGGCCACCACATGACACTACATGACCATCAAATTTTACTACATAACCCCTACATGGCCACCACATAACACTACATGAGCATCAAATTTCACTACATAATCCCTACATGACCACCACATAACACTACATGGCCATCACATAACACTACAAGACAACTACATGATCAGTGCATACGACTACATTAGACTACATAACACTATATGACCACAACATGACCCCTGCATAACAGAACATGACCACTGCATGACAACCACATAACACTACATGACCACATGACCACTATATGACCACTATATGACCACTACATGACCACTATATGACCACTACATGACCACAACATGACCACTGCATAACACTACCTGACCACCACATAACCACTACATAACACTACGTCGCCACCACATAACACTACATGACCACATGACCACTATATGACCACGATATGACCACTACATGACCACACCATAACCACTACTCAACACTACCTGACCACTACATGGCACATCATGACCACTACATGACTACATGACCACTACATGACCATTAATTAACACTATATGACCACTACATAACACTACATGACCACTACATGACCACTACATAGCACTACATGTCCACTAAATGACCACTCTATGACCACTACATGACCGCTACATAACACTACATGACCACTACATGACCACTACATAACCACATCATGACCACTACATAACTCTTCATGACCACTACATAACCACTACATAACACAACCTGACCACTACATGGTCACTACATAACCACATGACCGCTACATAACTCTACATGACCACTACATAACCACTACATAACACAACCTGACCACTACATGGTCACTAGATAACCACATGACCACTACATGACCAGTACATGACAATGTATGACCACAACCTGACCACTGCATGGAAGTTACATTGCAGAACAGATGGCTGAAGCCAGCTCGTCATTTGAACGCGTTCTCAGCAGTCTGTATGATCAGGGACTCCTGTACGTAAACGTAGATTTCCGACAATCGTAGCGCTCGTGTCGTTTTGTTGAATGGGGCCCTGTAGGCAGTGTATCATTTGAATATGACGTCATTCCGATGTTGGCGTATTTTAGAATATAGTTTTGCTTAATACATTGTTTACTTATACTGTTAAGGAATATCCTATCAACAGTTTTAACGCTTTTTAAGAATTGATGTGCAATAGAATAAAACGATGTTCTGAAATGGTCAAACCCATGCCAGTTGGCCGCTAAGTTTGTTTGTTTGTTTAACGCCGCACAATATTCCATCTATATGACGGCGGGCTGTATATAATCGAGTCTGGACCAGACAATCCAGTGATTGACATTATGAGCATCGATCCAAGCAATTGGGATACGATGACATGTTTTAACCAAGTCAGCGAGCCTGACCACCGAACCCGTTAGTCGCCTCTTACCACAATCATAGCAAAGAATCATTATCAGGATATAAAGCGAGACGGGCTGGCAGCACCTTCATGTCTTGATAATGTCCTTGACGGGTTCTCTACCTAAACATCACGTAAATATCACGGTCTGCAGGAAATGATCATGCACTTCAACGTCTTTCACCGTAGCGTCTACAGCACATTTATCGGGATATACATGTCCATGTACCCCAGAGGGCGATCTCTCATTAGCCAAATGCATTCACTTTGAAAAGTGATATAAAACGTTCTTCAACCTGTTTCAGAGCCGTGTGACAGGGTGTGTGAGAACGACGGCCTCCTGGTGGAGTCTGTCTGTGTTTGCAGCTGTGCCTATGGCTTCACTGGGAAATCTTGCGGTATGTTGGGGCCGGAACTCCTGCTTTCTGTTTTTCCTGAGTGTCACCGTTAAGCTGCAACTTTAATTTGGTTCTGTGCTTTTTGAAGACAGACAGGTGGTCTATGCTGCCCATAATTAATGACGCCATTCATTATAAGCTGCATCATTGCGCGAGTCAATGTCTTCTGTTAATATCAATTCATCCATAAAAGCGATGGAAGTTCACGAATGTCATTGTGTGTGAATGATGTCATTCATTATAGGCTTCATTACAGCCTGAAGCAATGTCATCTATTACAGATGAGAACATTCGCGAATGTCATTGTGAATAAGTTGTCTCCCATACATTATGTAATGTGTGAAAGTTCAATTTCATAGATGAACCTTCAAATGGTTCATACATTTAATACATGCAATTTGAATTTACAGAGATATGTGACGTGACGTGTTCCCTCCCGCAGATAATGATTGAAGGCAAATGTGAATGTAAAGGTATGTAAAGGTAAATTTGAAGGTATGTACATGCAAAGTTAATAAAACTAAATGTGAAAACATGTAAATGTAAATACCAAAGTATGTACACGTGAAGATAACCATATGTAAATATCATGCTAATTTCTGTAAAAGTAAAATTGAACTTATGAATGTATGTAAAATAATGTAAATGTGAATGTTTGTGTAAGCATGTTATTTTACTTATCCGCGCTCTCTGTTACTTTTGTTTACGAGACCAACTAGTGCATAATTCAAATGAAAGAATACTTTACTTTCTTTGTCGCATTACGATATGGAATTTGAATGACTGAGTGATGTGGTTCAACGCCATATATATCATTATATCAGTTACATCACGTTATGTCTACTTGACGTGGGAGGAAAGCCCGAAGTGATGCAGGTCTTAGGCGTTTGCCTCTTTGGTGAAAACCACGAACACAGACCTAGAAACATAATCAGGGAGAACCGGGATTCTTTCTCACGATCACAAGTGTCTGTCACGTCCAAGGGGCGCAACTCTGCACGGGGCCACATGTGTGTATAATGACCTTGAAGTATGTGCACTCTCTTGTAGGTTTCACATGACGTATACATCCACATACATGTTTATGAATTTTTAATGCTCTTTGACCCTCATTGTTTTAGAGAACCCAATCTGTGCATCAATCAGAAATGCAAGCATGTGTGGTTTCCTGATCTATGGAGAGGTGTGCAAATGTGCTTAAGATGAATAGCGTAAGTGTGCAATTTATCATTTCATATCTAAAGAGCATATGCTAGCTCAGCTCCAGAAGCTGCTGATCGATAATGTTACGTGTCGATTCCCATTTGGATATGTTAATCCAGAAAATCACTTATTGCGAAACCAACAAACAACCAACAAGTGGTATACAATCAACAAATGCATAATATTTTTTACTAAGTTTACAAATCAATACAAATTACTGTACAGTAATTACAATGACAGTACTCAATAGAGTGGTAGTACAATATTCAATGGCAATAAATAATATGATGACAGTGGAAGGTATCAAATACAAAACTGCATTGTTGATAGCAGAAGTCAGTGATAATAATATATATTCAACCAGCGGCAATAGCGATCAAGCTTCCAAAATTAGGCAGGGAATCAGGGATGACGAGCGATCCTCACATGAAAGTTGGTTCCAAAGCGATGAAATGCGTGAGAGATACCGTAACACGCTAATGTCCCCTCATATGGAATTTAACAAGCTACTAGAAATTTCTACAACATGCCCACACCATACACAACATTACAGAAATGTCGGTAACATACTATCACCGTCCGTGGAAAGCCGGACCGGAAGTTTATACACTTAAATATAGTGACTTCCTGGCTACTGATCACTGTCCAAACACAATGCAATGAGCGTCTTCCGAATCCCAACAGAAACAATGCAACACAACGCAGTTACAAATGACTGTTAAATAATAAAAAAACACTGCCATTAAACATAATACATTACTTTGTGTCTGTAAATAAGTTTGGGGTAAAAACATCTGTTGAGATGACAGTTCACCTGCCTTGATCTCTGTTGTATTGCTGAACGTGATATTGAGTTATTCTGTGTTTATGTTTCCTTTACAGACAATGGATAAGTACCTGCATCCAGTGAAAAACAGAGGCGTATTTAGCGTTCGTAGCAAATAAAGTATCACTGTCGCCTTTGTTTCTGTTTCTTTCATTGTTATACCAACATTAACCCAGAATGTTAACAACTGTTTAAAAAAAGTTGCCATGATCAAAATTAATTCATAATGATGCACGCAGAGATGAGTAATGAGCGTGAAATGACATTTTCAATAATTCGATCAGAATTCTATACTTCCCAAAAGAGACCCATGAGGATCCGGGGTAGAATAGGTCTTCAGCAACCCATGCTTGCTGTAAAAGGCGACTATGCTTGTCGTAAGAGGCGACTAACGGGATCGGCTGGTCAGGCTCGCTGACTTGGTTGATGCATGTCTAGAATCCCAATTGCGTGGATCGATGCTCATGATGTCAATCACTGAATTGTCTGGTCCAGACTCTATTATTTAGAGACCGCCGTCATATAGCTGGAATATGCTGAGTGCGGCGTAAAACAACAAACCAAACCAAACCAAACCAAAAGACGTTAAAGAACAACGTATTTCTTCCTATTACTATAGTAACTCTGTCATGCCAGGGCACACTATATGATTAGCATATAACGAACAATACTATGGACAATGTGCAACGTCATAATCTCACGTGAACTGAGCTCCATCAACTCTGACTTGAAAAGAGATGTGACTTTATTTGATTTAAGGAAGTTTTCAAGGTGAAAATACTATTTCAATTAAAACCGCATACTAATGTGAATATGCAGACTCACTCCATACACATTTAAAGATGACGTATGGAGTGTGTGCGTGCGTGCGTGCGTGCGTGCGTGCGTGCGTGCGTGCGTGTAAATGAATGTGTTCACGTGACGTCGCTTTGAATTGTACGTAAGCTTCGCGTCAGGGAAACGGTTGGGCTTTTGGCGTTTTTGGCACTGAACTCTACGAGCATATGACAGAGCAAGTATATCGTCATCAGTCCTATTATTTAAGAAATAAACGACTCTTGGTCGTTTATTTCTCATTTGAGACATCAACATTTACATGTACAAGCTTCCAAAATGTTTATCCGTGTTGTAATAATGATGACTCCCTCAATAGAATCCGACCTTAGCAACGTCGGACAAGTCCATTTTATGCACAGGTGGGTATTTCCCGCATATTCTCACAATCCTTACGTCGATTACCTGTACTTTTTCTCCCAATAACCATCGCCAAATCTCTCGCTCTTTTGGAAGCGATCGTTCGGCCATTGCGTATATCTACGTTGCCCAGCTACATCTACGGGGAACAACTCATTAGACACCTCCCTCTAAAAAATAAAGTCGTCCAATTTACGACGTCATCAAGTTGCGAAAGTTGTTCGAATCTCCTGAAATGACGTCACGATAGACCTATGTTTTATCGAGAAATAAACCACGCTTCGTTCTTCTGTGTTATTTGCGATTTATCGCGTAGTTATCTTATACAATGTTATATTGGTTAACATATGCATCAAACTGATATAGCAAAGTAATATGCAGAGTGTTTCAGTGATATAAGGGCGTGTCATTTTGATGCTGAAGTAGTCAGTTATATCACGGCGTATCAGTTTGATGTGGAAGTATTTCAGTTATATCACTGCGTGTCAGCTTGATATGGGAGTATTTCAGTTATGTCACAGTGTGTCAGCTTGATATGGGAGTGTTTCAGTTATATCACAGTGTGTCAGCTTGATATGGGAGTGTTTCAGTTATATCACAGTGTGTCAGCTTGATATGGGAGTGTTTCAGTTATATCACAGTGTGTCAGTTTGGTGTGGTAGTATTTCAGTTTTATCACGGCGTGTCAGCTTGATGTCGGAGTTAGCGCCAAAGTTGTACATATCTTTGAAGCTTTCCACTTCGGTGAAACCAATGAGCTTTTACATAGTGCTGACAAAACAAACCTCGAAACATTATCAAGCCGAATATGGGAGTTGAAACAATGATTATAGGTTCCTGACACACCTAAGGGAGGAAACTCCGCACAGCGAAATGCGGCGCTATGGGCGACTGGGCCGCTCTCGGAATGAAACACAAATATATATCCAAGTTCAAACTGCGTGTATTGACTTTGTGTAGCCACACCTTGCAGGCAAATTCAGAAAACATCGTGTTGCTAATATAATTTCCATGTTACAATTGATCATCTCATCAACACTGTTAAAAAATAAAATAGCTAAGGTTGATTTGGGTTTAGCTTACACTTGTTTCTGAAGTTGACTGAAGTGGTGGATTGTGTTTGTACAAAAGAAACAACAGAACAAAATTAAATTTACAACGTAAGACGTATCAGTCTAAAGATCACCAATAACCTGTTATCGACCTGTGAAGGAGTCCTCTGGCAGATGTCGAGCACAATGAGAATAGTCATAAGGAACTAAAGTGAATAAGTGAGATCGGTTTTACGCCACAATTGGCAATATTCCAACTATATCTCGGTGGGGAACACCAGATATGGGCTTCACGTTTTACCCATGTGGAGAATCGAACCCATGCATTTGGAGTAGTGAGTCCAGGATTTAGCCACTTAACCACTATCCCTTCCCCTTTTAAGGAACTATGCCCAATTAGACAATTGTTAGACAATAATTCACTGTACGTCGCTGATTGTCTAATGTTAAATACAATTTAACACATAATAATTTCAGAAGATGCTATTGATCCTATGTTAACGTTATTCATTTTTGATAATGATATTTTGCATTATGCAAATAAACATTTCAATTTAAAATGGTCTGATAATGGCCCTTGAAAAAGAGGTTGAAAAGTCCAAGAATGGCATATTAAGTTTTATTGTGCAATGGCCTGATAATTGAGACAACGTTCCTTGTGGTATAGCCAAGCCAAGAGATTTTCATCGCATATAAAAGTTCACACAATGTACGAGGGTTGTTACCAACAGGATTCTTTGGGAAACAAAAAGGCATCGTACATACATCATACGTATTACATGATGAAGTGTCAAAAATTACCAGTAAGGTACACAAATTCGAAAAAAATACAAATACAGGGAATGTATCACACATGTCCATGCGAACATGGCTGAACGAAATAGAATCTTGAAATCGATGCTAGGATATGGAATACCCTTACAAACACTAACTCATACGCGGCTCCCAACAAGACGATACCAAGATGCCATATCAATAACAATTGAATTAAAATATTGTTCCAAATTGTGTTGTCATTGAATTAATTTTGATTAAGTTTTTGTGGTTATTTTCCAGACATATGATTAAAGCAATTGTAATTTTAACTAGTGTGTTTTCGCTGAATAAGTATACTTTGAGGGAGAATTTTTTAAAATATATAACGCTTTACTATATTTTTTAAAAACAAAATGTGCATTATCTATAAGATCATTTGAACGTTCAAGTCTCAGATAATCATGTAAGTTTAAAGTAAACAATAAAAATATTAACAGGGTCAGGGTCAGGTGTTTGAGTGGTGAGTGTGTGGAATATTTCAAAGAGCGTCATACGACTCACTTTGTGCGAGTGGGCCCTAGGCCACAAAGGCATTTTTTCTCTACGACTAAGAAAGCATGAGAGTAAGGATCTTTAGAACCCGGGATATAGCCATAAGTAATTCCTCATATCATGTACAGCTGAGGTGCAGCGGTGCAGCTGGCATTTTCTGATGAGGATTTTGCTGGACATTCATAGCAATAAATGGGATGGTTGAGAAACCATTACACTAAAGACATCTCATTCATATTTGTATTAAAAAAACAGAAGTTTTTTCACAGCATTAAAGCATGCGAGTACGATTGCTGCAGAAGCGGGTCATGGAAGTCATCCACTGCACTCTGATGAAAGGGTTGTCATGTTACAACTATAATTGATCTCAGTCTGTGTCGGTAAACGGTCAGAAGATTTACCATCAATTGTATTGGAGTGGTTGACCACAGATGAAGGAATAAGCATATTCTCCGAAACCTTATGTTCCAAACACTAAGACGTTGAAATCCATAATTTCTCTTCCTTATATATCTAACAAATGGCAAGCAAGGAAAAAAACCCTCTTTGTACGGGACAATTAATTCTTCTGACCAATGGTGGACAATGCAGTTGACCGTACAGTTTGTCAATAAATAAACTAGAACTAGAATAAGGCATCGTCGTCTCCGCCGCTTGTTCTGTCGCACTGTGTCAGAATGTTTGTAGAAATAATGTGCAAATTATGAAAGCTAAATTGAAAAAAAAAAAATTCATTCAAGTTGTGCTATATCAATGTATTCCTTTTCATCATTCTTTATTGTGTCTCGCTTTACTTTAACTTTTTAATTTGTTTGCATATAAGTGTATGCTTCTTTTGTAGAACAATGATTCGTGTTTTCACGAGAAGTTGTGTAAATTGTACTTCGAAATCAAACTTGATACAAAGTAAGCGTTGTTTGAGGGTTGTATAACAGGTTATATCAGGTCATTGTTTTCAGATGGATGGAGTCCGGCCACAATCTGTTGGCGAAATACAGCTGTTCATATGAATTGACTTAATGTATGGAATGTACTGCTGTTCACAGATATTCATATGCTATGCCATATGTATTTCAAATCATCTTCAAGTAATTAATGAAATTGAATGCTACGTGGATAGCTACGGTTGTTTGTGGTCTAGCTATCAAGACATTTCACCTATTGACTGTTGGAACAAGGCAGTTAGATACTGAGTGAAACCAAGTGGAAATACTACTTGTATCACCTGTCACGGCCAGAAGTAGTTCCTTAATAACAGCGGAATGTGCACAGAAAGATACGGTTGTTTACTTCATGTACTGAACAATTAGTCCACTGTGCAAGAGGTAGTTCTCACGAAACAAACCCAGAGTGATATTCTCTGTACATGGTACCAAGAGGTCTCAAATACAAATAGCAATGTAAATCATCATTCATCAGCCTTTTCTCAAAATTGGCTCAATGAAATCTCTCTCTCTCTCTCTGTGTCGCTCTCTCTGTCTCTGTCTATCTGTCTCTCTCTGTGTGTCTCTCTGTCTCTCTGTGTCTGTCTGTGTCTGTCTCTGTCTCTGTCTCTCTGTGTGTGTCTCTCTCTGTCTC